TATGCTTATTATTATTATCACGATATGTTTGAAATGATATCCATGTTTCCTTCAATGCAAATTCACTCTCATAAAAAGTGTAAAAGTAAGTGTAATAAAAGGGAAGTAGCCCACAATGCATTTCACTGCTAGATAACTCCGTGAAGTCATTTAACTTAATTTACAGTTCGTCGGACCACTAAAGAAAATAAATGGTTTAAGGTACTCAGTCCTAGAAGGCATTTCGACAAAAGGATAAGTATGAGGAAAGAATGCTAAATTGTTAATAAAGTTGTCATTTCATGGAGTTTTGAACAGAAACACCTTATGGTATTGTCGGAAGTAGCGTAAAAGCGTCCCTCCTCACCCAGTAGGGTGTGGGTTAGGGTTGAGCGTCAGCCCCAGGTAAAACAGGGGACCCTTCCCTCTAAGTATAACCATGAGTAAGTCTGGATCAGAAAGTCTTATGAGTGCGGTCAACTTTCCACATTGTCAGGCGTTCGGTATACCGCAGCCATTCAAGTGACTGAGCTTGACCTCCCGATCTATTGGGTGGCCTCTTATAAGTGAGTGAGTGGGTTTAGCTTTACACCGCACTCAGCAATATTCCAGCTATATGGCGGCGGTTTGTAAATAATCGAGTCTGGACCAGACAATCCAGTGATCAACAGCATGATCATCGGATCTACTCAATTGGGATACAATGACATGTGGTCAACCAAGTCAGCGAGCCTGACCACCCGACCCCGTTAGTCGCCTTTTACGACAAGCATGGGTTACTGAAGATCAGTTCTAACCCGGATCTTCACGGGTCGGCCTCTTACAAACAGCATGTCGATTGACTAAGGTAATATTTAAACCCGAAAGTCCTACTTCGACGGACGATGGACCTTCATATACATATACATACATAAATACATATCTAATTAATATTTGTCATATTCTTAAGGTAAGGTTCCCACGTGTGTAGTATCTTCCATTTAGAAATAATAGTTAGGGTGTACTTTGCAATGCTATCAGCTTATAAAAGTAAAGGTATTATGCTTGCTTGTATGCCAGCGTGCATGCGTGCAAGCGAGCTGCAGATGCACCTGGCCGACCTCGAATTAGGCTTAAGTTAGTTCTTTAAATAAAGTTGTCCTATTTAAAAATATATATCTGCAACTTACAAAATCCCAAAGGAGCCTAGTACTACGTATAATATAATTAGAGAATATTAATCTAGACTCGCCAAAACATTCTAGACGTGATTTTCGCTATTCATTCATGGACGTTATTCATTCTCTGGGAGACTGACGACATGCGAGACTAATCGTCAGTCACGTCAATCCGCCCGTACCATAAATTCAAGTCACGACTTCAAGTGACAGAGGTGAATAGAAGTGACAGGTCAAGAAATGATCTCAAGTGGAGAGCTGAGTCACAGTACACCTGCTTCTATCTATGGTTTGACCACTGTGGATTAATGCTGACATGTTGCTGTGAGGGAACTAGAGTGAGTGAGTTTAGTTTTACGCCGCATTCAGCAATATTCCAGATATATGGCGGCGGTCTGTAAATAATCGAGTCTGGACCAGACAATGCAGTGATCAACAGCATGAGCATCGACCTGCGCAATTGGGAACCGATGACATGTGTCAACCAAGCCAGCCAGCCTGACACACCGATCCCGTTAGTCGCCTCTTACGACAAGCATGGGTTACTGAAGATCAATATTCTAACCCTGATCTTCACGGGTGAGTGAACTAGAAACTGATGCCATTTATGGTATATTTAAGCAACAGAATGTATAGTTTGTAAGAAACAATGGACCAAGAACTATATGACTCTTTGGCCCTTTGGATGGGATCGGTCTGTAAATAATCTAGTCTGGACCATACAATTTAGTGATCGATCGTATGAGCATCGGTCCCCGCAGTTGGGACCCAATGTCATGCAATCATCCCTTGAAGATCGGGGTTATAATCGTCCTCCAGCTGACCATGCTTGTCCCAAGCGGCGACTAACGGAACATGGTGGTCAGACTCCCTGACTTCGAGTTTCGTTGATCGACGCCCGGGGCGTCCTTACCTGGTATACTTACTTACTTACTTACTGAGTTTGGTTTTACGCCGCTTTTAGCAATATTCCAGCAACATCACGGCGGGGGACACCAGGAATGGGCTTCACACATTGTACCCATGTGGGGATTCGAACCCTGGTCTTCGGCGTGACGAGCCAACGCTTTAACCAGTAGGCTACCCCACCGCCCCACCTGGTATACCCCGCTAGGGCCAGACCTTACCAAACTACTGTAGGTGACCCGTTAGAATCATTTACAACATGGCGTTCCGAAAGTGCAGATGTACTAAACATTTCAATGATATATGGCACAGGCGACTTTTGTGACTACACATACATTAATTGCTGATTTAAAGAGGCCTCAATTGTGGACACAGTGTGTGGTAAATTTCTATGTGGGATGAGCATTCCTTAACCGATTATGAAACATCTTTGTACATTAATTAGTTGTTCATGAAACCTCCTTCTCAAGAGGTACTTTTATGCACAAATGGCCCGACGCCTACACTATGACAGATAAGGCCTTCGTGCAGATTGTGATAGTAAGACTGAAAGGCTTTTGTCGTTGGGTCACTATGACAAACCAAACCTAGGCCTATATAGTCCAAGTATATTTACCTGAACCCCGAGGATGGGTCAGTTAACTGTTGGTTTACTTCCTCAGGCGCTAAGATAGTCGTAAGTTAAAGTTAATGTATGGTTACGACTATCTTAGCGCTAAGAGAGCTTCGAAAATCTAGGCCCTGCTTCCTATCTTTAACCCTTTGAGGAACCGAACCCGGGTTTTCGAGGCTACAAGCGAACGCTTGAGCAACTCTGGATGTTACTGGAGATCAACACGTATACCAGGTACCAGGTACCGGTCAGTTCAGTTTCGTCCCACGGCTGGACAAGGTCAAAATCGCCATCTATTACACGTATGAATACACACAATAAGCACAGCCAACGGCGTTAACCCCGTTATTTATTACCCGAAAACAAATCTCCTGTCAGTATCAGAGAGTGAATGTCGTGTAAAACCACATTTATTGGGGCCATTTCGTGTAAGGCGCCGCTGTGCAGAGTTGCGGCCCTTAGGCCATGTTTTATGGCTATGGGAGCGTACAACTCGTGATCGTGGATATCACCAGCGGTAAGCGCATATGACTTCCATCACTTCATAATTTAAATCAATCCGATACATTGTTTTGTCATCACAGAATTGTAAATATGCCATGTCATCATGCAGTACACAGTAACGAAGGTTCGGGCTGTTCGTCTGGTCGCGTCATACAAAAAGACGTTAAACGTTAAAATTGTTTTAATAATATTATATGATATGATATGACATGACATGACATGACTTAATTTATTACCTACGAGGGCAAAAATATCGGGGTTCATATTTTTCATACGATGCCCTAGGGCAAAATATCACTTTGTCATGGTGACGTGACGTCATGAACAATGCTATGACGTCACGTTTCTTCTGTGAGATACTTATCGTACTATGTTTACGACACTCGTGCCTAAATATCGGTATTTCACGAGCGAGAGAGTTTCTTCTGTGACGTTGCGTTCTACATGCGGCGACGGCGAGTAGCCAGCCTATGTTTGAAAGCAGTTTGGGGTTTATTTTCCTCAATTTGACGACTTCGGTAATAAACAGAATATCATATATAATATAAAAGGAACCGAGATACTTTCTTCATTTTCACGATATGAAACTGCCGTAATCTAGAATTCATCCCTTAAATCATTGGGGTGAATATCAAGTAAGTGTGTGTGTGTGTGTGTAGAGAGAGAGAGAGAGAGAGAGAGAGAGAGAGAGAGAGAGAGAGAGAGAGAGAGAGAGAGAGAGAGAGAGAGTGTGTGTGAGTGTGTGTGAGAGTTAGAGAGAGATTTCTCCGTTCTATTACGATGAATATCCTGAACCAGGGGTTATAAAATATAAAATATTAATAAACTAATGTGAAGCCGATTTCTGGTGTCCCCCGCCGTGATATTGCTGGAATATTGCTAAAACCGGCGTAAAACCAAACTCACTCGCTCACGTATCTGGCGACTAACGGGATCGGGAGGTCAGGCTCGCTGACACATGTCATTGTATCCCAATGTGCGTAGAACGATGCTCATGATGTTGATCACTGGGTTGCCTGTCCAGACTCGTTTATTTACAGACCGCCGTCAAATAGCTGGAATATTGCTGTGTGCGGCGTAAAACTAAACTCACTCACTCACTATTGTGCCTGATGGCCTCTGCTGCCGATGAATGTGACCCGAGAGTAAAAACATAGTGTATCTGATAAATGTATGAAAGTATCATCGAAACTATTATATCCTTTTTGAAAGCGTTTCCATGAAAAAGTTTATTTCTAATTCATATGAATAACGCACTTCATAAAGTTACCATTTCTGTCACCCCTGATAAGGAGACGTTAAAGGGATTTTACTGCTACTTCTACCATTAAGCTTTTGAAGCAAAAGTATTAGAGTAACCTCCCTTTTAAATGACAACATAATGGCGGCAAATGTAAGTTTTGATTACAGATAGGAAGTAAAGAATCCTGATTAAAAATTTAAAATGTCGATGGCTTTCCCTCTGTGTCAACAACAGCCTCTTTTTAAATACGTCAACTGACGTGTTTGTACTTAGCTGCAGACATATGTATGCTAGTTGTCATGGAGTTATTTTGAAGTTTAATAATGTCTTGATTTCTGCCCAATATTGGCTCTCGGTTCAAACCTGAGGCTCAGTATTTATGCTTGCATGCATCCAGCTTAATGGGTCACGGCCTAGTAAGCATGATGGGACAACGTTAAAAACAAAGTTGTGTCAAAAGTTCAAACATCACCTGTCCACAGACACCTGTGAATCTATGAAAACTTACGTGTCTACAGATTAAACATGTTAAAAGAGCAACAACACAACATTGAAGATGGTCTCTCTAGAATGTCTCTCGTCTTTTTACCAGAAGGACTGATGTAACGGAAGATGTAGGATGTCGGGCACATTGAGGACACGTCTGCAGACAAGTCGCGTCTTTCTGATTTCTGGCTTGTCTGGAGGAGAGAGGAAAAAATATGGAAAAATTATACAGCAGCTGGGAGGAATCTATTTTGACATTGATGTAAGTTGATCTTTCATGTTTAGTCAAAGTATTGAACCAAGAACAGGTGAGCTATATTGAACTGTGGAGAATTATTTGTGTGTATATACATTTCCTGAGCCTTACCTGAGGATTTTATGCAACACTTTAACAGCAACTTATAACCTGATAAATCGATGCTTCTAAGCTGTGTTACCGCCTCCGTGGTGTAGTGGTTAGAGCGTCTGCCTGGAGAGCAGAAGGTCGCCGGGTTCGATCCCTGACCGCGTCATACCAAAAGACGTTAAAATATGGTACTTGTTGGTCCCTGCCTGGTGCTTGGCATTAATGGGTACAACCAGGACTGGTCGGCTCGGAGTCAGTATAATGTGTCTGAGTGGGCTATTCATGCTTAACTGCGGCATGGTATCTCGGTGGGCTAGCACTATAAAACCAGCTTAAGTCTAGGCTAGTACAAGCAGCCGCACATACACATACACACTCATGCACGTCGTCATATGAGCGAAATATTCTCAAGCTCGATGTTAAACCCAATTTCACCTCACCTCACCTCTAAGCTGTGTTTTCCTAATTCTGTCAGCTAAAATTTAGCTTATTTCAGACTTGATTATTTGCCGGTGATAGTAAATTAGTCATTGTAATAAGTCTCAAATATTGCTGGCATGAAATCTGTCATAAATATCATATACATTTTTGCTACCTGGCTTACGGGGTACTTAGGTACAGGAGGAAATAAAAGTTCTATGGATAGTCAACTTCTCTGCATCACTTGCTTGATAATGGTGTTACTACTTACACTGAAACATCACACTCCTTGCAATACAGAAGTTGACTGTCTATAGAACTTGGTTTTCCTTCATCTTTGCAACTTCTAAAATGCCTCTTAAAGAAGAAATGCTTATGGTATGAAGGTCCTGTTGTTCAAAACAACCTTCTTGTTAAGATCTCTTTGTGCAGCCACACCCTCAAAACTATATATTATCAATGCCATTATGATTGTAAGTGTAATTTGCACTGTAATACAAAAACATTCTAACCCTGAATATGTTCTCATGTTTTATTGTCAGTCACATATGGTATAGCTGCTTTATTGAAATTATCATTATTATGTTTCAGTCTTTTAAGGCTAGTTGTACCCATGTGATCTGTGGAAAACTGTCTCGCTAGTGAGAAGTATCTTGGTGCTTGTGCAACAGGTAGGACTAGTGTTTTTCATTATGATGTCACTTTTTTTGGATAAAATGATGTTAATGAGGTTGTACCAGGTGTTCATGCTTTTGCACCTTATCCATTCTAGCTGATCTGATGTAAGAGGCCATGTGAGCATGTCATTGCAAGATGTCTGTTGTCCATTTCTCAAAAAAGGCTTAAAAGATTCAGCTTATCTATTTTGTGTGAATGTTTGCTACTGAAAGGGGGTTAGAGATTTTTCAACATGGCTACCAGATACAGAAATTGGATAGCTGTTTCTTAGACCTCATCATGCCCACTGTATGTTAGTCTGATGCCATGTTTTATGAAATGACTGCATACATTTGTGATTTGGATCCAAGTACTGCCGAACATTGGAAAAGTTAGATCTGGCAGCTGTGCAAATGGAATTTCAAGTGCAATACAGTATTTGCCTATTAAGCTGTATTTCTGTTGTAAGAATAACTGGTTATGTAATGTGGCCGCTTGTTTCAATCCTGAGAGAAAGAGTAATTTGAATGGATGGCTAGTTTTACTTTTTAGTATGGTAGTATTTAACATCACTCAAACCATGATATGGTTGTGAATGGGTCATGGGTATTTATATGTGAAGTGAGATGTAATCAGGTAATAAACTGGATCAGGAAGGATTCTGAGATGTAGGAAAAACTTTTCCAGGAAGATGGATCCTCAGACCTGAATACATAACAGCCAGCGACCTCGTAAAGGAGTGGCTTCCTGAGGAAGACTTTGAGTGGCAGCCAAAACATGGACAGAAGAGCCAATCAGATCCCTTGGTGCTTGCACCAATCAGATGGCGGCTACATATTTCCCTCACAGGTGCCCCTGCCTTCAAGGGATGGAATGTATCTGTTGTTGTTTCAGACAAAAAGAGAGGACATGTCTATAAAAGGTAAGAAATGAGGCTTAGACAATTGTTGGAACAAGGTCCTGTTTGTATAAGTAACATCAGCATTTTTAGTCAAGCACTTAATCGCCAGCAAACAAGTGGAGGCTGTTAGCGTAGCTGGTTTGACTTTGTGTGTTGTATTTAGTTGCCTCATACTGCAGGCTTGGGTTCAAATCCCGGATGAAACTCAGTCCAAACAGTACTAGAATCTGTACTTTACTGAGAAAGTGTAATCCCAAATATAGTGTTTATTACCATGATTACATGTGACCACTTTCTAAAAGGCACTGTGTATAAATATCCCATCAGGTTGCTGAAGAGTGGGGGATGCAGATGTGTACAGTGTCAAACTGCATTTGACCACTTTCTAAAAGGCACTGTGTATAAATATCCCATCAGGTTGCTGAAGAGTGGGGGTGCAGATGTGTACAGTGTCAAACTGCCCGTCGACAATCCGTCAAAGATCGCCAACACCATAACATACATGTTCACGGATGGCAAGATGGCAGTTCAACTCTATAATCAATCCCTCATGGAGTATGGAGTTCTGCTGGTCAAGCCAGACTTCATCGGAGATTATCTCCTACAGGTATGGTTTCATGCTTTCCACTTTCACATGTTAAATACTCCAGTACCTATTGTCATGATTAGATGTTGTTTCTTTAGTAGATTTTTGTGTTATCATTGGGACTATTACTACTAGTTTAGCTTACTAGTCCAAATCAAATCTTACTGGAATCAGTTTTGAAATAATGGCAAATGGTAATTTTGGAAAGACTGATCTAAAGCAAAACATTTTCTTTTGCTTACAGTTCTTAATGACGCCATTTCTGATGTGCTTATTGGACAGTTGGGTAGTCTAGTGGTGAAAGCATTTGCTTGTCACGACGAAGGCCCAGGTTCAATTCCCCACATGGGTACATTGTGTGAAGCCCATTTCTGGTGTCCCCTGCCGTGATATAGCGGGAACATTGCTAAAAGCGGCGTAAAACCAAACTTACTCACTCACACAGATGTGCTTTGGGCTGCTTAGACTTATCTGTTGGAGTTAATTGTTTTATGTCTTTGTTGGATTTGCTTACAGTGTTCCTATCCTTTCTTTCGATGGGTTAGAATCCATCTGTTGTCATAGTAAATTAATGATCAATGGTGCATCAGAACCAGAACCATGCTATGTCACAGGTGTAACATTTGTTTGTTGTGTAACAGTGCACTCAGAAATATTCCAGTTAATCGTTCATCGCCTCTTACAAACAGCTTGGGTTGCTAAATACCAATTCTCACCCAGTCTTCATGTGTACACATGTGTTACAATACAGTGGGGTCATGATACGATACAACCGCCTGGTGTAGTGGTTAGAGTGTCCACCCGGAGAGCGGAAGATCGCGGGTTCGATCACCGGTCGCGTCATACCAAAAGACGTTAAAATATGGTACTTGTTGGTCCATTCCTGGCGCTCGGCATTAATCGGTACAACAAGGACTGGTCGGCTTGAAGTCAGTATAATGTGTCTGAGTGGGGTATTCATGCTTAACTGCGGCATGGTATCTCATAGGGCTGGCACTATAAAACCAGCTTAAGTCTGGGCTAGTACAAGCAACCACACATACACACGCATACACATCGTCATATGAGCAAAATATTCTTAAGAGGGACGTTAAACCCCATTTCACCTCACCTCATGATACGATACTTATCTTGATACAATAAATGCGATACAATTTGTATCCTGATACAATCTTTTTTCCAAGGGTATTGATGTATTGTCTCATAGACCAAGGATTGGTATGCAATTTCGTATGTATCGATGTATCATTACACCACTCTCTGAAGTTCAACACTCACTTATACTGATAGTGTTGTGTTCATGTGACTTAGTGAGTGAGTGAGTATGATTTTACGCCACTTTTTAGCAATATTCCAGCAATATCACGGCGGGGGACACCAGAAATGGGCTTCACACATTGTACCCATGTAGGGAATCGAACCCGGGTATTCGGCGTGACGAGCGAACGCTTTAACCACTAGGCTACCCCACCGCCCTCATGTGACTTAGTACTGACATGGGCATGATAATGCTCATGATGCATAATGGCCTTGAAGTGTTTGAAATACAGGGTGTTTATTTTAACAGGATCCACGGCCTGACCCAATGGATTATCTCGCATCCATGGCACCCTCCTCAAAATCCCCTGGTGATCAGACCTTTATCACTTCCTCTCAGAAGTCTCTGTCACAGTCTTCCCAAGTATCACAAACTCTCAAGTCACAGCATACATTAGTCAGTCAGTTTTCAGACTCCATGGATGGAACATTTATATCGCAGAACTCCTCTCAGGCTGATGCAGAAACACTTTCATCTACACAGGGGTCAAGGTCATCTTCATTACGGTCTTCAAAAAGGTTTTCTGAAATGTTTTCCAACGATAAAGAACCTGACAGTTCTTTTGAAATATTGTCAAGATCAAATATACCAAGAAGATCCTTTTTAAGTTCCGGAGGGTTGAAATCTTCTGCTTCATCATCTGAGATGAAGAATAAAAAGATGAAAGTCATGGAAAATGTCCAGACAAGGAGATCTAGCAGGAATAACCGAGAAAATGTCACAGAGCTCCAAGAAGGACAGTTTCTATGTCTTCCAGGGATATCGGCACATTCCAACACAACAGAAATACCTGACAGTGGATCTCAGATAGTTTCCATTAGGAGGTCTGGAGCTAAACTGCAAGAAAGTTTAACTGGTAAGAAGACCAAAAGGCTGTCTAGATCTGCCTCAAACATCATCAAGCAAAGACAAAATGTGGGTCATTTGTCTCCTTCACAAGATTCAAGGTCTCAAAGTACATCTGTGACTCCAGATGCAGATACTGAGGATTTTGTGATGGAAGAAGGACATACCTCTTTCCAAACAGCATCAGCTGGTTCTGCAGTGTCATCACAGCGACGTCAGAGGATGTCGAGGAGACTGGCTGGGGTAGAGAAAAGGTACCAGGTTATAGGGCAGGGGAAGGAACTCTCCCAATGGTCAAAGAATACTAAAAGAGAAATATCTGATCCAGATCATCTGACCTCTCTGAAGATAAGGTTACAGTCACAACCGTCACTTACTACATTTGTTAAGAATCATCACAATTGTCTGTCTGAGAAGAAAAGTTTGGAAACTTGTGTATCTGTTGAGATGGATATTGACATAAGTTCATCCCAGGAAGGACGGAAGTCCGCAAGGCTAGCACAATTCAAAGGAGTTCAAGACTCAGGACCATCGTCTACAGCACTGGTAAAGAGACGTGCCAATAACCAAACATCCAGCCTGGACTCTAGTTCCATGTCAGGGGATTTGCAGGAGCCTGGAAGGTCTCTGAGAAGGGCAGCGAGGCTTACTACATCTAATTCTGATTTAGTTGTTAAAGAGAATAAATATCAACATATTAAATGCAATTCAAAGAAACCACAAACTGAACCCTTGCCCTCTATGGCATCTAGTGAACCAGTGGTGGGACAGCAGAATGAGTGCTATTTGCAGAAACCTAAAACTGAACCCTTACATTCTGTGATGTCAAGAACACCTGTGGTGGTTTTAGATGCTAAAGTGATTATTGGACAGCAAAAAAAGTGCAATTCAGAGAAACTAGAAACCGAAGCCGTACCCCCTATGATGTCTAGTTCACCTGTGCTTGTTTCGGACAGCTCTCCATGTCCCAGAGTAAGAAGTGGGTCACTGAAAGCAGTCAGGAGCAAAGGTGCATTTGTGCGTGGAAGTCTTAAGGGGAAAAGTGCATCTGATGTTTTAGCTGTTAGAACACGTTCTGCTTCAATTGCCTCATTCCCTGGCTCAATTTCATCATGCATTTCTGCCAGACAAACACCTGATTTGAAAATGGTCATTGAGGTTAAGAATGATTCTCAAAAGAAGTTTTCACAGAGTTGCATGTCATCATTTGCATCCAGCCCCTTGTCTCAGGGCAGCACCAGAAAGGTGTCGCAGAGTTCCCTGGGAGACTTTGGCTTCAGTTCAACCAGTAAACAGCGTCACAGAACTACACTGTCCCGTAGTCTGCGCAGGAGTGTTTCTTCTTCACAAGGTTAGAATACTGTCATTCCTTAGCATTCCAAAACAAAGATGGATGTTGGTAATGTTTAGGTTAATTTCAGTTCGGTCAATTTGGCATTAAGTATTTCTTTTATCATGATTATATATATGAAAACAATGAAAACAAGATTTTCATAAAGATATGACTTCTTTTATGATTATAGGCACTATATCACACCACACTTCTCTGAAAATAATGCCTTTTCAATCAATAATGCTAACTATCAGCCCTCAGGGAAGCTACCATATAATTTATTCCCAAACAAATTAAGTGTTTAGATTACAATATTAAATTGAAAAGTTGGAATGAATTAATGCAATGTTGCATTAAATCGACTCTTGCACCCTCTACCGTTCGAACGTTACTTCAAGTGAACCCCATAGAGTTATGTCCCTTGGTGCGCTCTTTATGAATATCCTACGCACAACTTGTTATTGAAACCAGTTCGGCTAACACCGACAACACTGCGTGTGACAGTTTTCGATGTATGGAGCAATTGTTTACATTCGATATATGGCAAGTGTTCTCTGTTTGGAAGCTGTTCACCTCGAAGTTTCAATAATTGATTGCAGGCAAGTCATAAGGGATAATAAGTCTTTTATTTTGCAGGAATAAGAACCTAATGTGAGTGTATATACCCCAATATATATAATATGGGCCAAAATATTGTCTAAAATGTGTGACATTGTGCCTTTAAGGGCTAACATGGTCCATTCACCTGAGGTGCCGATGTTTGGTTGCCAGAGTTGTAATCTTTATGTGTACCAGAAACCTATGATCCTGGGTTTGAATCCGAGTGTGCCCTAATCAGCTTGTTGGTTTATCAGCACCATATCTATACTCGTGGGTTTCACCGTAGTGGCATACATCTGTCATCTGCATCACTTTGGTCTTTCTAAACCACGTCTAGCTGACATAGGTTAACATGGTTAAAAGTACCATTGAGCCAAATACACTCTAGGGGTGGGTATTGCGATATGTATTGCAATATATTGCAAGAAATGTTCTTTAACAAAAAAAAACGACTTATAATTTAGTTAATGCTTGATTTATAAAGCAAAAACACAACAAACTCACTATGCTTGATTAGGCTTTAATAAAAACTTTTAATCATGACAAAATAAAAATGTGAATAATATTTGGCACAAATGAGACAAGGAAAAGAACAATTTAACATCAACGCAGTGGTTAATGGTTTGAACTAGTTTCTCCACTATCAAAAAAAGCCCTGAGATTTCAGACAGCAACTTGACCTGGTCAGGACATATCAGAGATCACTGGTCATTTATGAGTAAATATTTGAAACATTCAGCTCCAAAACTTTGTGAAAGACTGAAACACCTAAACAATAATTAAAAACACAACTTTAAATGAGAATTTAACAAATCCATTTAAATGTAATTTTCACCACGATCATTACCACCACCATTACCACAAATGCACCAATCATCACCACCACATCATGAAAAAACCCGAAAATATCCGGCAGATTTCCGAGTATTACGAAGTTTTCGAATGTATGTCAAAATACTGGTTTTCGATGAGTGTAGCACATACTGCTTAGTACCTAGGTAAAGTCACTTATGACTTATATTCCAGAAAAGTGTTCACAACCAGAGCTTGTTGGTGAGATGAAGTTGTCAACATATTTCTCTCCTCCCAAAGAAGCTGGTGAGGTTGTCCCTGACAACAGAAAACAAGTCCAGTCCGACATAGATGAGAAACCTCACAAAAGTATGTCCATTTTTACTGAGCAAATGTCAAAAGTAAATTTTTGGGTACCTCAAAATGAGCAATGTTGTGCATAAACAAAATCATAAATAACTTAATGCTGTACAGAAACCTTGGGTTAAGGAACATTTACTTTATATCACTTGTCTAGTTGGGTTGTGGGTTATTTTTATATTGTTTAGAAAACTAGTTATGTTAAAGTGATAAGATACATATCCTTTTAATAACCAGCACCAAACAGGCAACAAGTAGTCCCATCCTTTCTCATCTTATTGTATTATATGGCCAAACCACTGCCCTTCCTCTCTGATTTAGTAAGGTTTGAGTGTCTCTTTTCTTCTTCAAAGTACATGTGAAGGAGAAGACATCTGTGACGCCACCCAACCCACTGATGCAATCATGTCCTGTGAAGAGGAAGATCTTCGATGATGATGTTGACGATGCTTGTGATGGCGTGCAACCTTTGACCAAGAAGATGAAGGTGCAGTGATATGTGTAGCCAGAATTTTTGCTGATTTTCCCCTGTGATCTGAGAGCCATAATATCTGTCTGCATCTGCGAAGTATCTGTATCTTTTACCATGGAGTATAGGCCACACCTGTACAGAGAATCCAGATGAGAATGGTTCCCCAGTAACATGCTGACAGTGGATGGTGATTTTGTAGTAGGAATAACAACTGGCTTGGTGTGGGATGGTTTTAGCGTGGATGGGGCTGGATGCAGTTTGGGATGGGTGAGGTTTTAGGTGTGGTGTTGGATGGGTGTGGCATGGGGTGAGTGTGGTGTTGAATAGGTGTGGTGTGTTATGAGTTGGCTAGGTGTTGTGTTGGGTGGGTGTGGTGTGTTATGGGTGGGCTGGGTGTTGTGTTGGGTGGGTGGGCGTGTTATGTGGGCTGGTGTTGTGGTGATGTGGGATGTGATGTTGGATGGGTGTGTGTGTGTTATGGGTGGGGCTGGGTGTGGTGTGGTGTTGGATGGGTGTGGTGTGTTATGGGTGGGCTAGGTGTGGTGTTGGATGTGATGTGGTGGGTGTTATGGTGTTATGGCTAGGTGTGTGGTGTTGGATGTGATGTTGGATGGGTGTGGTGTGTTATGGATGGGGTGGTGTGGTGTTGTTGGATGGGTGTGGTGTGTTATGGGTGGGTGGTGGTGGATGGGTGTGGTGTGTTATGGGTGGGCTAGGTGTGGTGTTGGATGTGATGTTGGATGGGTGTGGTGTGTTATGGGTGGGCTAGGTGTGGTGTTGGATGTGATGTTGGATGGGTGTGGTGTGTTATGGGTGGGCTAGGTGTGGTGTTGGATGGGTGGTGTTGGATGGGTGGGTGTGGTGTGTTATGGGTGGGCTAGGTGTGGTGTTGGATGTGATGTTGGATGGGTGTGGTGTGTTATGGGTGGGCTAGGTGTGGTGTTGGATGGGTGTGGTGTGTTATGGGTGGAGCTAGGTGTGGTGTTGGATGGGTGTGGCGTGTTATGGTGGGTGGGCTAGGTGTGGTGTTGGGTGTGGTGTTGGATGGGTGTGGCGTGTTATGGGTGGGTTGGATGTGGTGTTGGATGGGTGTGGTGTGTTATGGGTGGGCTAGGTGTGGTGCTGGAGGTGGTGTTGGATGGGTGTGGTGTGTTATGGGTGGGCTAGGTGTGGTGCTGGATGGGTGTGGTGTGTTATGGGTGGGCTAGGTGTGGTGCTGGATGTGGTGTTGGATGGGTGTTATGTGTGTTATGGGTGGGCTAGTGTGGTGTTGGATGGGTGTGGTGTTGGATGGGTGTGGTGTGTTATGGTTGTTGATGGGTGTGGTGTGTTAGGCTAGGTGTGGTGTTGGGTGTGGTGTTGGATGGGTGTGGTGTGTTATGGTGTGGGCTAGGTGTGGTGCTGGATGTGATGTTGGATGGGTGTGGTGTGTTATGGGTGGGCTAGGTGTGGTGCTGGATGTGATGTTGGATGGGTGTGGTGTGTTATGGGTGGGCTAGGTGTGGTGTTGGATGGGTGTGGTGTGTTATGGGTGGGCTAGGTGTGGTGTTGGATGGGTGTGGTGTGTTATGGGTGGGCTAGGTGTGGTGTTGGATGTGATGTTGGATGGGTGTGGTGTGTTATGGGTGGGCTAGGTGTGGTGTTGGATGGGTGTGGTGTGTTATGGGTGGGCTAGGTGTGGTGTTGGATGGGTGTGGTGGGTTATGGATGGGCTAGGTGTGGTGCTGGATGTGATGTTGGATGGGTGTAGTGTGTTATGGGTGGGCTAGGTGTGGTGTTGGATGAATGTGGTGTGTTATGGGTAGGCTAGGTGTGGTGCTGGATGTGGTGTTGGATGGGTGTGGTGTGTTATGGGTGGGCTAGGTGTGGTGTTGGGTGTGATGTTGGATGGTGGTGTTGGATGGGTGTGGTGTGTTATGGGTGGGCTAGGTGTGGTGCTGGATGTGATGTTGGATGGGTGTGGTGTGTTATGGGTGGGCTAGGTGTGGTGTTGGATGGGTGTGGTGGGTTATGGGTGGGCTAGGTGTTGTGCTGGATGTAGTGTTGGATGGTGTGGTGGGTTATGGGTGGGCTAGGTGTGGTGTTGGATGTGGTGTGTTATGGGTGGGCTAGGTGTGGTGCTGGATGTGGTGTTGGATGGGTGTGATGTGTTATGGGTGGGCTAGGTATGATGTGTTATGGGTTGATGTGTTTTGGGTGGGCTGGGTGTGGTGTTGGAAGGGTGTGATGTGTTATGGGTGGGCTAGGGATGATGTGTTATGGGTTGATGTGTTTTGGGTGGGCTGGGTGTGGTGTGTTATGGGTGGGCTAGGTATGATGTGTTATGGGTTGATGTGTTTTGGGTGGGCTGGGTGTGGTGTTGGAAGGGTGTGATGTGTTACGGGTGAGCTGGGTGTGGTGTTGGATGGGTGTAGCATGTTGTGGGTGGGATGGGTGTAGCGTGGGGTGGGCGTTTGCAGATATGTAAAACATTGGATCATAATATTATTTGAATCAATCAGTGAATATGCATAATATAGGCAAACACACTACCTTTACTTTATTTTGGCTTGATTCATTCACAGATGAACATGTTCCAAACATTTAATTGTTTTTATATATTTTCCAGTTAACACATCCAGTTCAGCCATGGTGTCCTCTCTGGTCTGGAGTGAAATTGGACTCGCAGATGGTAGGTTGATAGAAGTGATGCTCAGAAAGGGCATCAGGAAATTCTTTTGGTTCTGATGCCTTAGGACTACTTCATCTTGCATGTGCCACCTCAGTTGATTTATAGATGTGGATGGAGCATCACCTTGAAGAGCAGAGGGTCAATTGTTTGGTACCTTCCACGTCACATGAAAGAACATTAAAAGTTGTTTGCTGTTTCCCTGCCTGCCATCGTGATTAAGGGGATGGGGTGATGGGGTAGCCTAGTGGTTAAAGCGTTTGCTCATCACGCCAAAGACCCGGCTTTGATTCACCACATGGGTAGAATGTGTGAAACCCATTTTCTGGTTTCCCCTGCTGTGATGTTGCTGGAATATTGCTAAAAGCGGCGTAAAACTTAACTCACTCTCAAATTAAGGGAATGAAACAAGTTGGCTCGACGTCGGTATGGTAGTCTGAGTGGGGTATTTTATGGTAAGCTAGGGCATGGTCTCACATTTGGCTGTCACCTTAAAACCAGCATTAGTCCAATTTTACATGTGCATGTGCATGCATATATGTGTATAAGTGTTGCAATCTTAATCCCATTTCATTTCCATATTTTATTTGATTTTACTTTCAAAACTTGCTCAAACATATTACAGAATATTCTTGTTAGATTAAGCAACACTACTGTTATATTCAGTCCAAGAGTTGTGACTACACCTTACCGAGTCAGATGCCAAGCTCCGTCAGCAACATCATCAACATCTGCGTTGAGGAGAACTTTCAGCTGGAGGCCCTGACGATGACCCAGGCATCGATACAGACGTACCCATCATCTCAGCTGCTGCACACGCTGATGACACAGGTCCTCCTGGTGAGATAGCTACTATCATCATATCGACAAGTAGTGACCTTTGTGGTCCAGACATTGTCCTCATGAAAAACTGTTTTAATATTGATAAGAGAAAAGGTCACATGTGAACGATTTAACAACTGGGTCCCGATCCACAAAGCGTTCGTAACTCTATATTTTTAAACTTATCCTATCTCACGGTATGCACTTCTCTCTCTTGATTCGACACTGAGTGGAACGATGTAAACTTTTTCCCTAGGCCTCTCTTGTCCATCCGCCCAAGCACTCCATGCTACCCTCACTTTAAGACAGCTTCCTAACTCTCATGCAAAGCATGCGGCATGCACCACTAGCTGCCCACGTGACTATCTCGGAATCATCATTCTCTTTCTTGTCGCACATGAGTGTGGACGTATCTTACTTTACTCCTGGTGTAGTAAAGTGTTCAGCCAAAGAAAAGGAAAAATGATCCTGGTGTAGTAAAGTGTTCTCCGCGAGTGATCCACATGGGTATTGTGTTGACTGTATGGGACAGTATAAATGGGACTCTCGTTGCAATAAATGCAAGGATCTTACCTTCGAGGCGTTTGGTGACTACACTCAGGCTTGCGCTCGTCGTGTTGCTGACAGGGCTCGTTATGCCGCTTCACTTGACGGACCCAGTCCCTCCAAGAAAAAGGAAAGTTTAAGCGTTCTACTTTGTCTGCTCTGCGGTCACAGTCCCCTCACTCGAATTAAGAGGATTTCGTGAGAGCGTCGTCAGATTCTTACTTATCGGAAGATGTTCGGCATTTGTTGGGCTCTCAACATTCCAGCCCGAGTCCTTCGTCTTCGACCACGTCCTGGGCAGTGGTTGTCGAGACTGCTACCACCCCTCAGGATACCTGTACACAGTGGGACCTTCGAACTACGCTCTCTGTCTCTCGTTCACCGGACCAGTTATCTCGGCAACCTGGCTTATCTGTTTCGGACAAGAATCAGCTGATCTCTACACCTGACTGCACAGAGCGCATGCGCAGAAGCCGTTCTCGCTCTCATCGTTCATCCAGTAGTGAGAGGAACCAGTCTACCTCGCCTCAACGCCTGTCAGTGGTTTTACGGTCTCCTTCCCATTCGGCGAAAAGAAGTGTGTCTTGCATCCAGCTAGCTTCGACTTCTACCTCGATCTTCTGCTTCAGATCGAATCACAGACTCGGATCCACCTCCGCTCCACTCTACCTCGAATTGGCGGACTGTCCACCTTCCCCAGAATTAGACCGACTCTCTCCGAAACAGCGTGTGCGAACAGGTCTTCATCGAAACACCAGTCTAAGAGTCAGCATTCTCCGGATCGAATGTCTGCTAAACAGACTTCACCTAATCGTACTTCGTCAAAACAACGTTTGCCGAAACGGAAGACTTCACGGAAATGGCATGTGGTGAACAGCCTTTCGCCGAAACGGCCTTCTTCCAAGCGGTATTCAGCGGAATGGCTCTCGACGCATCATCTGATTACTTCCCCGAACTCTGTTGGATCCTACAGTCACGCCTCCTCAGCACGGACACAGCTTTCACCGAATCGCTGGATCAGTCTCCTGTTATTATTCGGATATTTTCACCGGATAGATCTGATCGGTCTATTTCACCGCCGAGACGCCACTCTTCGCCTAGTTCGTATTCAACTAAGCACACGCCTCCCTCTGCTTCTTGGAGATCGGTTTTTCGTTCCAAGTCACCTCCTCGGAATTTGTCTTCTCGTCATCATGGGACTTCCGGTTCTGGGCACTCGACCCGTCAACCTCGATCTCCTACACGGTTGACTGCTGCCTATCAACATCCATGGATCGTGTTTATCGTTGCGATATCTCCCCTCGCTCCCGTTCTCCTCAGCGGGTCTCCATTTGTGCATCCCCCTCCAGACATAGATATTTTCTACGGATCGTCGATCTAATCAACAGTTTTCTGAGTTGCAATCTCAGCGTGCTATGACTTCTGACGGGACTCCTGCCTTCTTGCATCTCTCTACTCGGATTGTACCAGATTCCTGGACTCGGGTTGTGGCGCAGGAAACTACCCTCCCCTAGATCTGGCTGCGATCCTTCTCCATGTTAAGTGTTCTTACTACCGCTTGGAATCAACAACAGGCTGCTCACTCTACGGGAATGCTCCTTTCCTCAACCATCTGTTACGATGGCGTCCCTAGTCCTGGTGTTCCACCTAATCCCACGCCTCCAGCACATTCGGGTTGTGGATTCCCGAGAGGGAAGTTTGGATTTTGTTGATGAGCCTCAAGTTTCAGCTTGGATAGTGGAGAAACTCCACCTCCATATGTCACAGATATCCTTGTTTAATGGCATGATTGGAGAAGTTTCAACGGAAAAGGTGGATCGGGACAATCAATTTCAAGTTTCGTGGAATTATTGAAACTCCAGAAGTCTCATCTGCAAGTTTCCATGATACAGAGGAGGCCTCCTCGGTTCGTGCCGTCTCATCCGGAACTGCGTCAGGGTTTTCGTGTCCATTCGTCCTGAGCTAGAGATAGCAGGTCCTCCCGTGGCACTTCTTCCCGACGTCCTCCCAAGTCCGACTCCCGAGCTGGGAGTGGGGCCCCCAAGCAGTGACTCGTCGAAACAAGGGCACGACTGGGAACTCCCGCCTCCAGCCGTCCCCATCTACGACTCTCCAGTGGGCGGGAGACTACGAAGGTTCGCTCCCAACTGGACGATCTCGACGATCCTTTCGTGACCGACCTCCTCGCCACAGGCTATCATCTTCCGGTCATCGGACGTCTGCCGCTGACAGTTCATCCAGTACACCGCAGCTACCCGGTGGACCAGGTCCAGGTTCTTCACTCCACCATAAATACGCTCATAGAGAAATGTGCAGTCCAGTCTCTCGGTCCGGCACTCAGCACTCCGGGGTTCTATTCCCCCCCATCTTTCTGGTTCCCAAGAAAAAGTCCACAAAACTAAGACTCATTTTCAACATGAAACTTTTCAATGCCCACTATCTCCAGCGCCCACCTCACTTCCGGATGGTATTGACCGTCCTTTTTTGCACCATCCTGAAGAAAGGGGATTTTCTTGTCAGCTTAGACCTGCAAGATGCTTACCATCATGTGCCCATTCATCTGGGTTCGCTGAAATTTCTCCGATTCGTATTCCAAGGGATCCAATATCAATGGACCGTCGGGGGTTGTGTTCGAAAGTTACATAGACGACTGCATTCAGGCACAGAGAGACCCTGTCGTTCTTCTACGTCAGTTGGAGTTCAGTACGAAGCTACTCCGGCAACTAGGTTGGTTGTTAAATGCTGTGAAGTCGGAACTAACACCGACCCAGACCCTTCAATTCATCGGAGCAACTTTCGACACGCACCAGGGCCTGATTTTCGTCCCCCAAGACAGGTGGCTAAAGATTCAACAGCTAGTTCCGTTAGCACTGTCGCAGGCCAGGACCTTACGACAGTGGCAGGAACTGTTGGGCCTCTTGACATCGGCACAGGCATTGACACGGCGGGGACAATTGCAACTCGCGCCGGGTTGCAGCGCTTCCTGCATCCGTGATCTCGCCTCAGAGAATCTCCAGGAGTTGATTCGCCTTCCCGAACCCTTACGTATTCTTCAGTGGGGCTTGTCGAAACAGAACGCTTATGCCGGAGTTTGTTTGATGCTGTTCATTCCAACGCACCATTTGTTCGCCGACGCCGCCGCCAAAGGTTGGGGGCCTACTTTCTTCATCATCAGACAGCCGGGCTGTGGTCGCCCGCAGAACGGGACTTGCACATCAATGAATTCGAAGTTCTTGGCGGTTCTTCTCGCCATTCAACATTGGGCGACGGAACTTCGGGGTCCTCCCTGCTGATTCAGACAGACAACTCTTCGTCGCCTGGTACATCAACCATCTCGGTCGACGGGTTCGGGCGAACCTTCTTCAGTCGGGCGCTTCGTTCTTCCATCTGATTGACTCCCTTGCCATTGATGCTCGAGCCAGACACATTCCCCGAGTCAGGAATGTCATCGCGAGATGCGCTGTCCCGGCCCGATCGGGCCTCGCTATCAAGGCCCTAAGTCGACCTATTCGCTATGCGGTTCAACCATCAGCTCCTACAGTTTATCTCCCCGATACCAGACCAACTAGCATGGGATCTCATCGCTTCTGGCGATTTCGTGAGAGGGACTCAACGCTTTATGCCTTTCCACCTCCGCTCTCTTCTACCCAGGGTCATCCAGAAACTCCGAAAGTGACCAGGCAGATTCTACTGTCTTTGGTCGCGACTTTTACTGTCCAGTCAGGAGTTGGTTTTGTCCATCCCGCACAGCTCGCAGACCTAAACCCAGTTCCTCTAAACCCAGTTCCTCTTCCCAGGACGCGACCTACTGTTACACCCTCACTGGATCGGCATCATGTATCCCTTCACACCCTGTCTCTGCACGTTTGACGCATCTGCAGAAGTCCTTAATCGCTAAGGGGTATTGCGGAGAGTGGCTATGGCCATCACTTCTGCTCATCGGACTTCCACCTGCGCACTTTATGATGAGAAGTGGAAATGTTTTGAGAGATATTGCACGTCCAGAGGCATTACATCTCCCGTTTCTACTTCGCCTCAAATCGTCGTTTCTGCAGCATTTGCGGTCATCTAAGAAGTTCAAGGATTCCACTTTGGCCACTTACCTTGCTGCGATCAAGTCGGTCCTGGCTACCACCACAGGCTCTAAGGTCTCCACAGTTCCTGAGCTTCAGTATTTGCTCCGGTCCTTCAAGTTGGCCGATCAGTCTAAGAAGTTTAGACCTCCTGCTTGGGATTTATCTGTGGTGCTGCGTCATTTGGCCTCGATGGACTATGAACCCCTAGCTCAGAAGGACTTTGAAAAGATCTCCTTCAAGACCTTCTTCCTTGTGGCCTTGGCTACAGCTGCTCACGATTTCTGAACTCCACGGATGGCAAAGTCTTCCTCGATCTCCGTTGGGATTTTGTAGCGAAGAATCAGTTGCTGGGACATCCCGATCATACTTTTTCCATCCCACCGTTGTCCACGATCCTTGGGCCGCATGACAATGAAGACCTGCAGCTTTGCCCTGTAGGGCTTTGAAGATTTTCTTGCTGCTTCTCAAGATCGCCGCCGTCTCTGCAAGCGCCTCTTCATTCTGTTGTCCTCAACATCCAGGGCGGAAGTGTCTCGCACCACTTTATCCTTTTGGATGAGAGCCACCATCCTACGGGCTTACACCTTCGCTGGGTTACCGCCTCCGACAGCTTCCAATCCACATGAGACGCGGGCGTTAGCGTCTACAATGGCTTTGCATAGTAACTGCTCTCTCCACGCCATTATGGAAGGATGTTTCTGGCGATCTGACTTGGTCTTCTCCTCGCACTACCTTCGAGACCTCTCAGTCAAGGATGTCCAAGGCCTGCACCAGTTTGGATCCCTTGTGCTCGCACAACAGCTGTCTACGGCCCACCAACGCAGATAGGGAACGGTCCCTCGCGGTTGCTGCTTCCCTGTATTTTCTTGAATATAAGTCTGAACTTGCTGTCTGCCTTGTGTTTTGATTGCTTATGGGTTAGAACTACTTCACTTAGTTTTATACTAAGACACGGAGATACTGCAACCTCGGTGGTTGGATGAATCTGGAGCTCGATTCTGTATCACAATGTGGAAGGGTTCGACATTTCACGTTTCCTGACCTCTACTTTTCGAAGCAATTACTTCAGTGAAGTGTGTGTCACTCCCGAATTCCAGTGGATTTTGTTGCGTTCTGACTCCGAAGTTGCCGGGCTCATCCTTTTGACTAAGCTTATGCAAAGGAGTGAGGGTCAATTTGATGCTGTTCCGGAACTGAACGCTAAAATTTGAGTTCCCGAAGTTGTACTTTCTCTTTCACCCGCCCTGGTCGGTCTGTGGGGGTCTTCTCGAAGCAGGGGCTGGCCCGAATTTTAATTTACAGGGGTACTTTGAAAATCGTGGCGAAGTGACATACTTTCTCACTGAGCTGCGTCCTTCTTCGGAGGTTGCGGCCGAACACCACATCGCTCGGGAGCCCCCATCTCTATGGGAGACGTTGTGCTTAGTAAGCCAAGGAGTTCAAGAGAAGCATATGAGTTGCGTGCATGCATAACAGGCCTCCCTTGTGCATTCACTATCTACGGTCGTTTCGAGTCTACACAGTTCCTGCTGTTCACCCTGTCAAGACACAGGGTATCTGCGTCCCGCCGTCCGACCGTGGGATAAGTGCATACTGTGAGATAGGATAAGTTTAAAAATGTGAAAATTTTAAAATAAATTGTATATTTATATACTTATCCTATCTCACGTGACGGATTCCCGCCCATCCTCCCCGCTATGCAGATTCTCCAAGATGGATATTATCCAGTGGCTCCAAGAATGAGAATGATGATTCGGAGATAGTCACGTGGGCAGCTTGTGGTGCATGCCGCATGCTTTGCATGAGAGTTAGGAAGCTGTCTTATAGTGAGGGTAGCATGGAGTGCTTGGGAAGATGGACAAGTGAGGCCTAGGGAAAAAGTTAACATCGTTCCACTCAGTGTCGAATCAAGAGAGAGAAGTGCATACTGTGAGATAGGATAAGTATATAAATATACAATTTATATTAAAATTTTCAAACTTTATCATAGGCTTACGTATGGCATAGTTCTATGAACGTTTTATGGATCAAGCCCTTGGTTAATAGATGATAACTGCAAGATATACTGGTCCATTTTAATTTTCTCAAATTTTTGACAAATTGCATGTAAAAACAGATAAGTTTAATGATCAGCCAAAATGGTAATTCCTACAAGAAAGAGGTCAAAGGTTCTGAAGATACGGCTGTACTTCAGCAAGACATACTTTCAGTTGACCAAAAACCCAACTTTATGTTAGCCCCAATATTGTTGATTCTGTCACACTTATATTCTGAGTGGGGCGGGTTGGGCAGCCTAGTGGTTAAAGCGCCAAAGCAAAGAAACGGGTTTGATTTCCCTCATGAGTACAATGTATGAAGCCCAGTTCTGGTCACCCGTGCGTGATATTGCTCGAATATTGCTAAAAGTGGTGTAAAACTAAACTCCCTCATTATATTCTGTGTATTAAGAACCGCCCTGCGTGGTGGTGTGAGTTAGAGCGTCCGCCGAGAGCGGGAAGGTCGCTGGTTCGATCCCCGACTGCGTCATACCAAAAGACGTTAAAATATGGTACTTGTTGGTCCCTGCCTGGCGCTTGGCATTAATGGGTACAACCAGGACTGGTCGGCTCGGAGTCAGTATACTGTGTCTGAGTGGGGTATTCTTGCTTCACTGCGGCATGGTATCTCAGTGAGGTAGCACTATAAAACCAGCTCAAGTCTGGGCTAGTACAAGCAGCCGCACATACACACGCATGCACGTCGTCATATGAGCGAAATATTCTCAAGCATGACGTTAAAGCCAATTTCACCTCACCCCACCTGACCTGTGTATTAAGAAAGTAAGTCATGAAAACTTGGGTGAAAACAGGTAACGGTGTCTCTTGAAGGAAGATGTAAATACCTAAGTAAACCTATATTCCAGAAAGCCAAGTCTAGGCACATATCTCAGATGGCATACAAGATCCTGATGAATATCCTGACTGCCCATCCACCCAACAGTAAACTGATGAGGAACATCTACCTCAACGCCTTCCATCTGCTGGAAGATGGCCACAGGGAGGGTGTATGGGAGTTCATCAGCTTCGTTATAGGGTAGGTGCACCCTCAGACCCTGTGAGGGAATTTGTCAGCTTTGTTTTAGGGTAGGTGGAGATTATGCATTCTCAGACCCTGTGAGGGAATTTGTCAGCTTTGTTTTAGGGTAGGTGGAGATTATGCATTCTCAGACCCTGTGAGGGAATTTGTCAGCTTTGTTTTAGGGTAGGTGGAGATTATGCATTCTCAGACCCTGTGAGGGAATTTGTCAGCTTTGTTTTAGGGTAGGTGGAGATTATGCATTCTCAGATCCTGTGAGGGAATTTGTCAGCTTTGTTGCAGGATAGTGGAAAACATGTATTCTTACATCCATCTTTAATTGGCATTTTGAAGCTTGCATGTTGAAGGACACAAGATACTCTACACCTTTATTGCAAGTAATGCAATGATCCATAGAACTTGTTCTCCTGGTCAAGTGAAATCTACATTAGACATAACTCTCAAATGAAAGCACAGTTTGTTTATCTCCTAATACCCTACTCTACATGTGTCTTATTAGAGTTAGTGGGTTAGCAATCACTATGCATGTGTTCACGTTGTGTAGTTAGGGCTCCATGCCTCACGGCGAGGAGGAAATAAATGGCTAATTGAGTTTTTTGGGGTATAGCCCAAAAGGACTATGGAGCCCTCATCGCTGCTCTCACCTATATTTTGATGTATTTTTCATCCGTCTTGCACCAGAGGGGCCCTGGAGAAGGATGTCTACAGTGACAATTACCACCTTCTGCTACAGTTCCTCGTTGCCGTCTTCAGGCACAGCTTCTGCAGCTTTCTGTCAGAGTAAGTCGACTAAAGATTTATCACAACACATATATCCAATTGTACTCTTCCTAGGGAGCTGAGGATATTATTTGAATGGATTCTGATCTATGGGGTGTGGTGTAATGTTGTGCTTTTGCAGCTGTCGCTCTTTAGAAATCCAAATCTGGCTGTCAGCAAAACCAGTTATCTGCAAATCCAAATGCTCTGTACAGACATGTTTCACTGATGTATCTCTATTCAGACAGCAGTCATCAGAGGTGAAGGAGAGGAGGAAGCTGTTGAGATGTTGCATGCTGGTTCAGTGTCTGTGGTACCCTTCCTACCTGCTGTTCCCAAACACTCGCACACAGCAGCTCTTGGACTTTGTAGAGCAGTGCTTACAGCTGCCGAGTGACTGCACAAACAAGGTGAGGTACACTTAAAGTCTGTTGGTCTTTGTAGAACAGTGCAGAGTGACTGCAGTGATCGCATAAGGTGAGGTAGAGGTAGACGCCAACCTGTTGGAGTTTGTAGAATGGTACTGTTACAGCTGCCGAAGTTTCTTTTTCTACTCTTCAAATGATCGATGCTCATGCTGTTGATCACTGGATTGTCTGGTCCAGACTCCTCAATCTGTTACTTTACAGACCGCCATATAGCTGGAATATTGCTGAGTGACTGCGTGTGTAAAATTAAACTCACTCACTCTTCAAATTCTTTGGTTTTGTTGCAGAGTCAGCTGTTGGAGAGCATCCTTAGCCTTGTTTCCATGGCAACCCAATGTTGTCAGATAGCTGACCAGGGTGTGATGACAAATGGCTACCCAGACATTGGAGAGAGGACATCATTGTTAATAAATGAACTGGCTCGCAAAATTACAGGTGAACAGACCGATAATCTGATAATCCTCTAAGTATTGTTGATATGTATCATAAATGACAATAGTGCTATTAAAGTCAGTTGTGTTAATTGTTTCTATGATCCATTCTCCATATTGAACTGTGTACTTACTCTTGTATGTCCCGTTCAGGATGTAGTATCAAGGAGGAGACAACTCTGCTAGCCACATTTCGTAATCTACAGCCAAACTGGTTGTGTCTGCGAGTTATTCAGGTGAGGGTCTGTTTCTGTTTTCACTTAGTTTGAACTCATTACATAAATCCCTGATATTGGGCCATGGTACTACTGGCAAACAAGGATAAGTAAGACCGGTGCAGAGATCGCGTTTACGAGAAGTAGGCGGTGCACGGCAATGAGCAAACCCATTTGGTTTGTGAAAGGTAGAACAGATGTAAGCTAGTGCACGTGTATTGTATGACGATGAAATTGATTCCGCTCGTAGCTGCTCACACCTTGTGCCTTGCTTTACCCATTGCACTACGCTTGATCGCGGACAACCTGGGGCCCCTTCGCTAACAATGACAAGCGCCAGTGGGCGGCACTAGTACATGCTAATACGTGTTAATTGTCAGGTCGGTGGTGGTCAACTTATCCTTGTTTGCCAGTAGTTTAATGTTGTGAGGTCAGGTATTGATAGAAAACCTGGACAGAGGACATATTATACTCTTAACCAGGGAATTACAGGATGCGAATTCCTGCGTCCTATACGCATAAAAATTGACAATGGACACAACAAAATTTATTAGCGTGTCCACAGGGTCTCAGACTCAGAAAGAGTCCAAATACTAAAAAATAATTCCAATCAAGTGACAATAATTTATCACTGAGTTTGCTACTAGCTGGGTTATGGTATTATTTGCAATTTAATTACTGGAACAATGTGATGATCATGATACACAATGCAATAACAGTATTAATAATAATATTTTAGTGTATGGGACCCCAATTTTGTTGTCCAGGTCCCCTAAAAATTAAGAGCATGAGTCGGAGGGACCCTCAAATACAGGACTCAAGGTAAATCCCTGTGTTAACAAATCTTGATTATCCAGGATTTCAAGACCAAGGGTACATAGTGTTCACCAGTGCCCCCAAAGGCCCTGTTTCAATTCCCACATGGGTACAATGTGTGAAGCCCATCTCTGATGCCCTCTGCTGTGAGGTTTCTGTAATTAGTCTGAAATGTTGCTACCTCTAAGCTTAATGTTTCATTTTGATCTTGTTTGACCTGTCAGCAAGGCAAGTGCCCCGCCTTATGCACACAGGACACCACTTAACACGATGCTCAGTAATGATGTGTACTCCATTGTTATGAACTGTTCTTTACAGCTCCTGCTGGCCAACATGGATGACTACTTGCTGGTCAAAGGGCTCGATTTAGATCGTCTCAACCTCACCAAAATTGCAAGTTCTTGAGTTTTAGTTCTTTATCATTAACACCAGCTTCACATGTCTGATAAAGTACAATGGTTAATTGCAAGTGGTTACACATTTTATAGCATTTGACTGGTTATCTTAGCAATATTCATATGTTTTCATGTCATAGTACAATGACTGATTCTCAAGCATGACGTTAAACCCAATTCACCTCACCTCACAGGTGTCTCAGTGTATCTTCCTTCATTACATACAGGTGTCTCAGTATATCTTCCTTCATTACATACAGGTGTCTCAGTATATCTTCCTTTGTTACCTATAGGTGTCTCAGTGTATTTTCCTTCATTACATACAGGTGTTTCAGTATATCTTCCTTCGTTACATACAGGTGTCTCAGTATATCTTCCTTCATTACATACAGGTGTCTCAGTATATCTTCCTTCATTACATACAGGTGCCTCAGTATATCTTCCTTCATTACCTACAGGTGTCTCAGTATATCTTCCTTGGTACCTACAGGTATCTGCGTATATCTCGAGAGGCGGAAGGTACATACAGGTGTTCTCCAGACCAGGTCTTCCAAAAGACATTACATACAGGTGTCTCAGTGGTATCTTCCTCCATTACCATTAATGGTGTACAACCAGGATCTTGGTTCATTACGAGTCAGTATGTGTCTGAGTGGGGTCTTCTTCCATTACCGGCAGGTGTCTCAGTGATCTTGGCACTACCTAAGGTGTCTCAGTATATCTTCCTTATTACATACAGGTGTCACATACATATCTTCCTTCATTACCGATCAGGTGTGTCTATGTATATCTTCTTTCATTACATACAGGTGTCTCAGTATATCCCAATTTCACCTACCTACAGGTGTCTCAGTATATCTTCCTTCATTACATACAGGTGTCTCAGTATATCTTCTTCCGTTACATACAGGTGTCTCAGTATATCTTCCTTCATTACCTACAGGTGTCTCAGTATATCTTCCTTCATTACCTACAGGTGTCTCAGTATATCTTCCTTCATTACATACAGGTGTCTCAGTATATCTTCCTTCATTACCTACAGGTGTCTCAGTATATCTTCCTTCATTACATACAGGTGTCTCAGTATATCTTCCTTCATTACCTACAGGTGTCTCAGTATATCTTCTTCTTCATTACATACAGGTGTCTCAGTATATCTTCCTTCATTACATACAGGTGTCTCAGTATATCTTCCTTCATTACCTTCAGGTGTCTCAGTATATCTTCCTTCATTACATACAGGTGTCTCAGTATATCTTCCTTCATTACCTACAGGTGTCTCAGTATATCTTCCTTCATTACATACAGGTGTCTCAGTATATCTTCCTTCATTACCTACAGGTGTCTCAGTATATCTTCCTCCATTACCTACAGGTGTCTCAGTATATCTTCCTTCATTACCTACAGGTGTCTTAGTATATCTTCCTTCATTACCTACAGGTGTCTCGGAATATCTTCTTTCATTACAGTATATCTTATCTTCATTCACATACAGGTGTCTCAGTATATCTTCCTTCATTACATACAGGTGTCTCAGTATATCTTCCTTCATTACCTACAGGTGTCTCAGTATATCTTCCTTCATTACATACAGGTCAGTATATCTCCAGTATATCTTCCTTTGTTACCTATAGGTGTCTCAGTGTATCTTCCTTCATTACATACAGGTGTCTCAGTATATCTTCCTTCGTTACATACAGGTGTCTCAGTATATCTTCCTCCATTACATACAGGTGTCTCAGTATATCTTCCTTCATTACATACAGGTGTCTCAGTATATCTTCCTTCATTACCTACAGGTGTCTCAGTATATCTTCCTTCATTACATACAGGTGTCTCAGTATATCTTCCTTCGTTACATACAGGTGTCTCAGTATATCTTCCTTCATTACATACAGGTGTCTCAGTATATCTTCCTTTGTTACCTACAGGTGTCTCAGTATATCTTCCTCCATTACATACAGGTGTCTCAGTATATCTTCCTCCATTACCTACAGGTGTCTCAGTATATCTTCCTTCATTACATACAGGTGTCTCAGTATATCTTCCTTCATTACATACAGGTGTCTCAGTATATCTTCCTTTGTTACCTATAGGTGTCTCAGTGTATCTTTCCTTCATTACATACAGGTGTCCTCAGTATATATCTTCCTCCATTACCTACAGGTGTCTCAGTATATCTTCCTTCATTACCTACAGGTGTCTCAGTATATCTTCCTTCATTACATACAGGTGTCTCAGTATATCTTCCTTCATTACATACAGGTGTCTCAGTATATCTTCCTTCGTTACCTACAGGTATCTCAGTATATCTTCCTTCGTTACATACAGGTGTCTCAGTAGGTCTTCCTTCATTACATACAGGTGTCTCAGTATATCTTCCTTTGTTACCTACAGGTGTCTCAGTATGTCTTCCTCCATTACCTATAGGTGTCTCAGTATATCTTCCTTCATTACCTACAGGTATCTTAGTATATCTTCCTTCGTTACATACAGGTGTCTCAGGAATATCTTCCTCCATTATGTAAAGCTATCTCCATATATCTTCCTCTCTTATGTACAGGTTTCTTAGAATGACTTCATCTATTATACATACTAGGTGTCTTATCCATATAGTTTATCTTCTGCTACTTTCAGGTGTCTCAGTACATCTTCCTCTTACCAAGGTTGTCAAGTACAAAGATAGCCACGAAGGACAGTCATAAGAAGCAACTGAGGTAAGGTACTTGAACTATATAATTTAATCAATATTGTTGTGTACAAGAAACAGTGACATACTGTGTATATGGTCTTGGTACAAGTTGGTACAAGCAAACTGATGCCACAAAAATGTGCTGAAATGTCACAAGTATGTATTATTTGAAAAAGATCTTCTCAATAGGGGCAATTTTCTGTGCAGAGTTGTGTTCCTTATATATGCCAGGATGCAGTGATTATCGTTTGGAATACCAGAGTTGCCCTGATTATGATTCTTGCTTTGGGGTATCACCTAAGCACTAAACGTGTAAATCTAGCATCACTTTTGGGGTGAGCTCCCCTACTAAGCGGTCATGATGTGATACAACTTTAACACGATTCAAAGAGAAATAACAGCATACTCTTGATTTTGTGATGTTTGTCAAGAGCATGATTTTACAAACATGATTAGCACGAATGATGATAATTTTATGGATATACAACTTCTCTTTTCTGTGAAAGGTGACATTTCAATATAGATTCTAATGTCATTGTCAAGCAAGTGATGAAAATAAGATTAGCAGTTGCTATATACATTTATATATTCTACCCCAAAAACGTTAGATCTCCTGTTTTCTTGATATGACTATAGTTATCTGTCATAGCTGGTGGTGTCATTATATCCCAATTGCGTTACGCTGTATGTCGATGCTCATGATGTTGATCACTGGATTGTCTGGTTCAGACTTGATTGTTTACAGACGGCTGCCATATAGCTGGAATATTGCTGATTGTGGCATTAAACATCAAACAAACAAAAAACATAGCTGGTGGTTATTGTAACACACAGTCTTCTGTTTGTGAATGTTTTTCCTGAGTATCATTTCTTGGAGTGTTACCTTTCACTGCAGAAAACATGGCAGATGTCAAGAGAGTGAGAAAGATGGAGAGAGAGATGGTGATGGGGAAGGAATCACACAGCACATGGCTGCAAGGATCAACAAAACTAACACCAAGGGTAACCAGCTGCCTTCTATAGGCTATCAGTCTGTGTGCTAGTGCCTAACACTAAATGTCTGTGGTTTGGTAAACTTTGCTGTTAAAAGTCCTTACATACCTACCAAAACCCATGTCAAGAAAGAGGTTCAGACTTGAAGACTCAAAAGTTATTAGTACACTCAGGGGAACAGCTCAGGAATTGCAATACAGGATTTCCTTGGTTTTGAAAAGCAGTAACCTTGTAATTGTCTCCCTTTGCAATCAGGATAAGCTTGTCATGGATTTGTTGTCCAAAACTCGTCCTGATAGCTGTTCATGGATTTCAGGAAATGATCATATTGCACTTTTCTCAAAAAGGACAAACACACTTACCGTGCTTACAAAAATCGTAGACATTGTTCATTGCATTGTTAAGCCCCAACTCAGGGTTTTACACAACTTTGTAGAAACCTGTGAAGATCCATGTTAGAATTAGTATTCAGCAACCACATGGGTGCAATGTGTGAAGCCCATTTCTGGTGTCCCCAGCCACGATATTGCGGGAATATTGCTAAAAGCAGTGTAAAACCATACTCACTCACTCACTCACTCCGATGTAGTCAGGTGACACATTGTGTGAGAAATCATTGTTTTGGTTAATTATTCGTTTTAACCATTGAAACTTTTATTGGATTTGTAGGTGAGACAGCACTCCATCTAGCTTGTATGAAGAACCATATTGCGAAGCTGAAACAGTTGTTAGCAGTGCCAGGTATGTTGTAGTCAAGTTATGTTGCTGGTATAGGTTCTTGGGATCAGTCCTGTAGGGAATCTCAGTTCGGTCCCCAGTAACCTGAGATGGTTGGTCCCGAGTACTCTATGCTTGTTGAAGACTCTGTTTTACCTGCTGAGATATGTAACCTGATTATTGCTGAGTGGGTGCAAAGAACATTGGCTCACCTTTGGAGTTATGTCTATCACATTTTGATGGAGATGGCCCTTCTTTGCCCTCCTTTTAACTTCATTTGACATTTTTTACACCCTCCTCTGCTTGCTGCTTCACTCCAAATGTTGGCCAAAGGGGTAGCCTAGTGGTTAAAGCAATCACTCGTCATGCCGAAAATCCGGGTTCGATTCCCCACATGGGTACAATGTGTGAAGCCCATTTCTGGTGTCCCCCTCCGTGATATATAGAATATTGCTTGAATATTGCTAAAAGTGGTGTAAACTAACTAACTCACTCACTCACTCACTTACTCCATATGTGATTCACAGTTCCACTTTGTTCCACCTCCTGAAGCCATTCTCCCAGGTCCGGGATCATCACCTGTCCATGTTTCAGGTGTGGATGTGAATGCACCTGATCATGCCGGATGGACCCCGCTCCACGAAGCGTGTAACAAAGGCCATGTGGAATGTGTTGACTTGCTGCTCAAATACGTACCTGCCAGAACCATGGACTCATATCTCAGCAAAAGTATAACTGCCTGTGAACTTAGAACTTGAATTGCATGTGATGTCGATTGGCAATTTACTGTTCCTGTTTCTGAAATATGAAAATTTAAGTTTAAAAAAATAGATCTTATGGTGGCAAAATGAACTGAATAAGTAGCCTTAATGAAACTTACAACTTTATGGATGACAACTTCTTTTTTATTGCATTAAGCGACGTTTTGATATAGATTCTTACACCGTTATCAAGCTAAAAGTTTTAAGAATCTACATCGAAACATCGCTTAATTCAATGAACAAGAAGTTGTCAACCATAAAGTTGTATGTTTCATTTTGACTCACCAACTTCTAGAATGCTGATCAAACAATTAAAGTAGCCTTTATCGGTGTGGACAGATAAATACTCATTTGTTTAAGAAATTTGGTTTGTTATTTACATGATTGTTTAGTCTGTTAATTAGGTTTACAGAAGGTGCCCAGTCACCAGCAACACCCCCACCCCCCACCCCCACACACACTGTTATGAAAGCATCACACATCTATGTTACATCTATGATAGGTTGTTGAATTTGGTTTATTTCCAGACCAGCCGTGTAAGAAGGCTGACCTGCTAGCCTGCACCCCGGACGGCATCACACCTCTCCATGATGCTGTAGCCAGCAACCGTCTGGATGTGTGTCGCCTCCTGCTTACACATGGAGGTAACTGGTTGTCACACCATAATACAGCTTGAGATCATAAAACTAAATATGTCAAGGTTTACAAATATATAAAGCCAGGCAAAAGATTGTACACTCCCATGTTTGATGGTGTCTAAAACTGAGACAAAGAAATGGTTATTTTCTGTTAATTATCATTATGAACATCTTGTCAGTCAGCATTTCACAAAATATCCCGTGACCATGACATCTCCAGGAACATGCTTGTCACAATTTCACAACACTGAGTATTGAGGGAAGCAGGCTTGTTTTCGAGTGTATTCTTTCTTTAGCCGAGCTGTTTAGACACATACCTGAAGGTTCAAAACACAATTTAATCTTTTTGTAGATTCAAGTCATAATCATTGCCCTATTTATCAGTCCAACTCAGTATGCATGTTGTTTTTTTATCAGTTTTTCTCATCTCAGTATGCATGGCCTATTGTCTGTTCATGTATACATGCTCTCTTTATCAGTTTAATTCAGTCTGCATGACCAATTTACCACTATGCATGCCCAATTTATCAATTCAACTCAGTATGCATGGCCTATTTATCCGTTGAATTCTGTATGCATGCTCTGTTTATCAGTTTAAATCAGTTTGCATGGCCTCTTTATCAGTATGCATGCTCTGTTTTAGGGTCCAGCTTACTGTCGGCTATGACTTCAAGAGGTCAGTGTCCGTCTGACCTGGCCAGGACTCCCAGTATGCGGACCCTGCTGACCACGCTGCCAACTCCAACAAAGCACAGGGGCATGGACTTCAACTCCTCTCAGGGTATCATCATACAACATACATCTTTAGACTTAAATACCATTATTCAAAGTTGCACTGAGCACAACACTCTCACTCAGATTAGCTTACTATTAAGGGGATTCAAACCCCCTTTTAACAATGACCTAGGACCATATTGAAGTTAACGTTTTTCATTGGCGTGGAGTTCAGGGGCTTCAACCCCCGTATCTGCCTATGGATTTTGAGAGATAGTGAAGCAGAATTTGACAGACTGTACCCTTCTCCTTTCAGAGTCCCAGGACTCTCCCAGACCTCACAAGACAGACTTCATGCCGGCTGCCTTCCTGTACCAGCAAGTGTTGGGTGAGGAAGACAATATGGTGATGGCCGACGTAACAGATTGCCGTCTGTACATCACCCTCGTGACACACCTCATCTTGTCCTACATTCATGCTAGCAGACTCTTGTCTAGACATCAAACACACATGCAACAGACACACACCCAGCAGACACACACGCAACAGACTCACGTGCAGCAGATCAGACCAGTGTCTTCACACACAGTCAAGGTCGTACCTGAGACAGCAGTGAAAGAGAACCAGCATCCTGGACGAGCGTCAACCAGGTTGAGGAAACAACCAACAAAATTTGACTCTTATGATTTCGGAAAGCGGAAAGTTCTTCAAGAAGATTTAACCAACACTGAAACTGCTGCCCATGTAGACGAGAGTAGATGGATTTCACTTGAAAACCATGATGCCAAGCCTAACTCCAGGTTGGAACACGCAGATGAAGAAGATGATCTGTACATTTTCCAAAGAATCAAGTGCCATCTGCGGAACTTTACTCATCATATCAGCAACATTACTTCTCCTGGTGCCTTTAAACTCCTTGAATCCAAACTCTCTGTGATGATGTTCTACATTGTTGCAGCATCAAGCAAGAAATGAGGACTCGGAGGATGGTTTTAGTTCATATCTCATCAACTTCGTCCCCTCACACTTGAATTTGTTTTTCCGAATCATTTTATCCTTCTAGTCATGTTTTTGTTGAGTTTCATCCTGAAATGTTTTAGCATATTTGTAGTTACCAATTTTAGATCTTCTGTTTGTGTAGTCTTATGAGCATATGGTCTTCTCTTTGTTTAGACTGCTAAAATCATATGAGAGTACAGGTATGAAAAGAGAGTGAAGTTGTTTCTTGATTGTCAAAAATGTAAAACAGGAAAGTAATCTTGTATTTGCGGTTATTCATGCATGGTTCTCAGATTTTTGGCCTAAAAAAGTCATGTTCTAAATTACAAATCCTTTGTATTTACTTAAAAAGTTAAGTAGGAAGGGAAAAAGTAGGGGTGTGAGAAATAGGGGAAATAAACATGTTATGGAAATCGATCTGTCGGTGTGTATTGTAATTTCTGAAATATTGAAAATATATATTAGAAGCTTCAAGGTTCTCCAAAGGTTTGTATTTTAGTATTTTAAGTACCGGTAATTAATTCATATTGAAATCAAGAGTAAATAAGGTTTTATTTATATGGTCTTTTTTGGAGGATTCATAACCCAAGCCTGAAAAAGTCTAGCCTAAGTGATAAATTTTATCTGTGCAGACTGCTGTGTGATAAGCTACAATACATCCTGACAGTCCTCTTAGCTGGATTTGAATTGCTAAAGTTGTAAAGCTCCTTTACTATAGGTCTTCAGTAACCCATGCTTGCAACAAAAGGCGACTATGCTTGTCGTAAGAGGCGACTACCGGGATCAGGTGGTCAGGCTCCCTGACTTGGTTGACACATGTCATCGGTTCACAATTGTTCAGATCGATGCTCATGCTGTTGATCACTGGATTGTCTGGTCCAGACTTGATTATTTACAGACCGACGGCATTTAGCTGGAATATAGCTGAGTGTGGCGTAAAACTAAACTCACTCACTCACTCCTTTGCTATATGATGGTTACCTTGTCTTTCATCTATTTGATTTAGAAATACAATACAAAAATCAATGACTACATCCGTACCTAATCTCTCTCTCTCTCTCTAAAACTAAGGTCATTTGACCGGTCACTCACAAGACTAAAACACATTTTTATATGATGGTTACCTTGTTGTTATTGCATCTATGGGTGAAAGGAATTAGTGTTTCTGCTTTGCAAAAATCCGATGTATCATATGCGCTGGTCAGATTTAGTGACAAATATGTCCACCGTCTGTCTGCATGTCTGTCCGTCAAATACTGTATAGTCAATTTCTCCGGCCTCTCCCTCTCCCTCTCCCTCCACCCCTTGCAAAATGGTTAAAGCCTTCGCTCCTCACGCGGAAGACTTGGATTCAATTCCCCACATGGGTACAATGTGTGAATCCCATTTCTGGTGTCCCCCGCTGGTATTTTGCTAAAGGCAGCATAAAAACTATACTCACTCACTCACAATGGTGCAAAGGAAATAACTAAATATATTTTCTGGAGTATTGAAGGGCACTTTAGTTGTGAGTGAGTATGGTTTTACGCCGCTTACATCTGTTGTGAAGTTCTACCTGTTACAGATAATGCAAATCAGACATTTGTATTTAGTGAGTGGAGATCATCTCCACAAATACCTGCAATATTGCTTATGCAGCATTAAACAATATTCACTCACTTGCGTAAGTTTAACTGTTTGTGTTGTTATGTATGAATTGGTTTATGTGGATATAAAACCATAACAGAACCTTTGGCTTAAAATTGTTAGACTTACAAACAAACAAATCGCCAAAACTACTGGTCCAAAGACCCCTAAATATCTGGTACAGATCCGAAATCAGAATCTCTACAATTTCAAGTGGAGGCCCTATGTAGGTACAAGGCACCGTTAGGCAGCCATATTGGATTTTTGGACTTGTTTTTCACCATTTTTCTGAGTACTTGTCTCTCAAAATGGACTGAACTGGAACCATCAACTCCAGAATATCCAAAATTTGCATACTTTGTGTCCAGGAAACTTAGCAGGGAAATACTGAAACCTCTTTCTAAAGGCTGCGTAACAGATGTGTTTGATAGCTGAGGTCCTGTAAATTCCAGAACACTAATTGTTGTAACTAAACAATGGAGCTTTAACATGTTAAAGAGGGAAAGATTTCTTCTGGACTATGTGAAAGGTACATGACCTCGGCTGTCCGCTCTTGTGTCAGAAATGTGTTCTTTGATGTGTTTGAGATCTATTCACGATTTCGGGCCCTCAAATACACTTCGGGGCGGTGGGGTAGCCTAGTGGTTAAAGCGTTGGCTCGTCACGCCGAATACCTGGGTCCGAATCCCCACATGGGTACAATGTGTGAAGCCCATTTCCGGTGTCCCTCGCTGTGATGTTGCTGGAATATTGCTAAAAGCGGCGTAAAACCAAACTTAGTCAGTCAGGCAAATACACTTCAATCACTTTTACCTCACACATCACATACTTTTCAACCAAATTTTGAATGTTCATATAGACTATGATTTTCAGTTGTATAATCCGATTGCATCCCTGTATCTTGTATGACTAAGAACAGAGATTGAGTGAGTGAGTGAGTTTAGCTTCACGCCGCACTCTGCAATATTCCAGCTTTATGGAGGCGGTCGACTAAGAACAGCAAAGGAAAACATGATGCCTGGAAAACAAGGTATCCCATTGCTTACTATCGTTCATATTTGTACAAACAGGGCCCGGTTCAGATAAGGCTACCAAGGACAGTGTGAACAACCGGTTATTGCCCTTTAAGACAATTTTCCCCATGGTATCAAATTATATTCTTAGATCCATTATTATGAGCTTAGAAATAAATTGAATCCAAATCAAATCACATAACTTCTATTCACATAACGTCTATTCATAAATCTCTACACTGGCCTCTTGTTGCATCAATATCAACTTTAATATCATTCCAGGAAGTTCTTGAAGGGTAACCTGGTACTAAATGACTAATTCACATAGAGGCAATGGAACCCACATCGCTGCTCCCTGCTATATTTTAGTGCCGTTATTGTTTTCAGTTCCTGCTATACAGAACTATTGCTTTTTGGTAAAATCGGTTGACTTCATAACCTGAATAAAATTACTTCTATGTTAAATGTGTGGCTTTGTCTTTCATTATCTTTTCAGATGCCCAACATTTTAAGCCATTGAGTATTTGATCAGATAGTTGTTGGGGTAGCCTAATGGTTAAGTGTCGTCACGCTGACGACCCGGGTTCGAATCCCCACATGGGCACAATGTGTGAAGCCCATTTATGGTTTCCCCCACCATGATATTGCTGGAATATTGCTAAAAGCGGCGTAAAACCAAACTCACTCACTCACTGTAGTGTTAGGTGTATGGCTGTGAACTCTGGAGCACCATTCTTTTTTGTTTGTGGCTTGTGCAGTGTCGAAGGGCATGTTCATCTGTCTGGTTTCTGTGTGTGCATTTCCATGTTTGGTGTTATTTCCATGTTTGGTGTTATTTCCATGTTTGGTGTTATTTTCATTTGGTGGGAATTGAATTTTGTGTGACCTTCTTGTAAATTAGTTATCGCCCTGTCTCCATTTTTAGATTTATGGTATATATTTAGTTTTTCGAGGGACTTTTGGTGTAGATTTATTAGTTTGGAATTTTAGTCTGTTAACGAGACGGACGCTTTCCCTCAGTCTCTCCAATGACTTTATTTTATGTCCAGTGAACGAAGGCAGACTAGAGTGTGTCTGGATGTATATATGTTCAATTGGGGGATATTATCTCATTGGGATAACACAATAATACAAGCATAAGTCCGAGAGTAATACTTGTGAAGATTGTAACATATTCATGTACTGGAGTGAAGATTGTAACATATCATTCATGTACTGGAGTGAAGATCGTAACATATCATTCATGTACTGGAGTGAAGATCGTAGCATATTCATGTACTGGAGTGAAGATCGTAACATACCATTCATATACGGGAGTGAAGATCGTAACATATTCATATACTGGAGTGAAGATCGTAACATATTCATGTACTGGAGTGAAGATCGTAACATACCATTCATGTACTGGAGTGAAGATCGCAACGTATCATTCATGTACTGCAGCACACTCCTTCAAGGATTAACCCAAAATACGTTCCATACTCGTATATCTTTTCGGTGCCACAACCCCTGTCTTCAATATGAAGTCACGGACAGGACAGACTCCTTTAGGGTGGGAACAAGAACGACCGCACCTTTACTATTATATTGTTTAGGTGTCCGAGCCTTACCCGCCCTTGTCACATATCCCTGTACAACGTTTGATTTGTCTGAAGCCATTTCACCTCGTGAACCTCATGTTTGCATAGTGATCGGAGAGTTACTCGACGTTTCAGATTAACAATGACATACAATCTGTTTACTAGAGACCAAGGAAACCAGGCCTACAGTAGTGCGCGGTGGATATAGCAGATGTTTTTTAACACCAAGAACGCGTGTTAGTCAGAGAAAGGTTGTAAACTTCTCAGCGCCACTGCTCACGTGATCAGCTGCACATCGACTAACGCTTAGTCACTGACTATTTATAACTTTGACAGAAACAAATAATTGAAATTGAAAAGGAGCCCCAGTGAGATGACGAAATTTAAACTTGCTTTAGCGTTGCAAATAGGACTTGGCCGAAGGGAAACCAATGTGGTTGAGCACTGGGAGAAAGACTACGTGTGTCAACGAAGCGACGATAAGGCGCTCCAGTAGAGTACCCAGGGTACCCAGTACCCATCGTCGAAAGCATCAATATTAAACTGGTCAGTGGTTGACCCTGATGGTGAGACGACCATGCACAAATGTCAACAGGGTAGAAGAGACAAACTGGACAATGGTTTGCACAAATGTCAACAGGGTAGAAGAGACAAACTGGACAATGGTTTGCACAAATGTCAACAGGGTAGAAGAGACAAACTGGACAATGGTTTGCACAAATGTCAACAGGGTAGAAGAGACAAACTGGACAATGGTTTGCACAAATGTCAACAGGGTAAAAGAGTGAGGTATTTTAGGACAGATTGGATTGCAGATGTGCTTCGATTTATCTGCTTTGGGCACTGATTGAATGCTGATCGCTGGAAGGCAACAATACTGTCTATCGCACTCCCTTTCTCAAATAGAAAACACAAGACATGCATCAACCTTGATCGATTGTCAGGATTCCGCTGGTCGGGACGTACTTTTACTTCCAAGAAGTACCTTCATATTTGATAGAACCGGATGCAGTAACTTTACCTTCACCTGCAGTATACGACAGAACGATTGACAAGTCCAGTCGCTGGTGAGGTGAGTCCCGACACATGTTGTCATGGTAGCAACGAAGGTTGTATTCACCACGCCTTCAGCCCTGATCAAGCCACTGTTTACTTTACACGAGCTCTGATAAGGTAACGCATAAGCTCTTCTCATCGTATACCTAACTCAATGTAGATTTAAGGGCGCAGCGGTCGTATTGGACGGCATTCTTTGAGAATTCTTGACGTTTTGAAACGATGGACTCAACCGAGCCTTGGAATACGTTCTTTGCAGGGAGATCCACCGTTTTCACAGTAAGTTTAGGTATGGTTTAGGTACTCGTTTCGTTAAGTCGGTCAGTTAACCTGCTGATTATCATTGTCAGACACCTAATTTACTTTGTTATGACAAACGTAATACAAACAAGGAAATTGATTCAGATTTCACTATGAATGTTCGTCTGTTTTATTGTTTATTATATGGACAATAATATAGATTGCTTGGAGTGCTGTGGTAGTTGTGGTCCAACATCAACCGCCACAAATTGATATTGTAATCTTCAGTTGACGTGAAACCTACCTTTCCCATCCCTTTCTTGACCTATTTTATTCTTCCGATCAAAGTTCTGCACACAATGTTAATCGATTCAGCATGTAACAGTACAATTTGGACACCTTCTGAACTGAACTAATCACCAATCGGAGAGAGGATCTCTAGGCTCTGCTGTGTTAGATGAGGAGGGGATGGCTCATGGCTCATGGTTAGATATCGGTATAGGATTAATGATGTCCCAAGACTACAATTCTGGGATCTGCCCTGTACTGCTTTTTTTTCTTCTTTTTTTTATAAATAATTTGTTGACATAAACGGTCAGTGGGAATGGGCAAAAGTTCCCTAATACATTTCTACAGACACTGGTTGATTTGTGTTTAAGATTTAAAAATAACAAATAGTAATATGACAAATAGAAACGCTCTTTGAAGAACATAAAAATACATACAATGCATATATGAACACAATATTCTTGTACATACACATCATACACAAACACACATATACATGTACACCTACATGTGCGAGAACACGTATATACAATACATACACGTAGACACATAGACTACACATATGTACTGACAATACATGAATCAATGTAGCAATATTTAATTTTGTTTCGTTTTGACGATAAGTTGGGACAGAGTGATAGTTAATGATGAAACCTGTTAGTCGACAAAATATATTTTGGACGCGCTCGAAAAGGAGATTGTTTTGAATTTCAGTCAGAAATTCATACCATTTTGGATAGATTGTATTGTGAATGTTCCACCAGCAGATATAATGTTTATGCACGTGATGTTTGTGTTGATTTTCCCGCGGATTTCAACCCGGTCAGGGTAAAGTATCAGATAAGTTTACTTTGGAAAAGGTGTTAGATGTGTATGTGAAATTTTAGCTTTTCGGTGAAGAAATAAGGAGGCGGGGGCTGTAATAATTATTTTGATCATCTGATTAAAATTGGACAATGGAGTTGTACTTCTGTATCCCCGGGGGTAACTTATTCCATATTCTGACTAAAGAAGGTAAAATGAATGCTGGTTTGTTGTCCTGATACCGCACGCAGTTCAACTACTGAACATAGTTATATACGTAGAACTCAAGAAATGCAGTTGTATCTACGAAATTGGGATACGATGACATGTCAACGAAATAAGCGAGCCTGACCACCCGCCTCTTACGACAAGCATGGGTTGCTGAAGACCAATTCTAACCTCTTCATTGGTATATGTAGTCACAGGGGCTTGTAACGCTAAAAACTGCATTCAATGTATGCACTGTCACTATCGGGGTCTTAGCACTATATATAAGGATCCTTTTATATAGTGCTAAGACCCCGTTAGTGACAGTACATACATTGATGGCAGTTTTTAGTGTTATAAGCCCCTGTGTATGTAGTTGTAAGACGTGATGAAGAAAAATGACCCTGTCATGTACAGAGATCCCTAAAGGTTCCTAGAATCTGAAGATGAAGAGAGAATAATCAGAGAAGATTTATCGCTAAGAAATCCACGTTTATGACAAAGGATGATTGGAGAGCGTATACGAAGGCAACAAATTGTCGCGTTTGTTATAAACTCCTGAGTAGGGGTAAATATCATTGTTACTTCACAGGTAATTACAGTGGAGCTGCTTACAACGAGTGTAACATAGAATTTAAAATATTCCCCAGACAATACCACTCCCTTTTGTTTTTCATAATATTAGAGAATTTGATTCTCATCTCATAGATGGTGTGCAGTTTCTGTTATCTTCTCTGGGTAGTCGTAGCTGCTGCATACAATCCCAACGACTGACGAATAACTGACGCGTGAAGTCGGCGAAGTCGTACGTATCGGGTATTGTTCTGCCCGTCTTGACGACATAAGTCTTCACCGGGTCACAGCAACCTGCCTGTTCCTTTGTCAGGTTGACATACAGTTATAACAAATCAAATATTGATCAGCATGCTCGGCAATAAAGGACTCGTCGGCTCGGAGTCAGTATAATGTGTCTGAGGGGGGTATTCATGCTTCACTGCAGCGTGGTATCTCAGTGAGCTAGCACTATAAAACCAGCTTAATTCTGGGCTAGTACAAGCAGCCGCACATACACACACATGCACTTCGAGCAAAATATTCTCAAGTACGACGATAAACCCCATATATGTGAATATATAGATGATTGGTCATGACTGGATGAAACTGATTCACTCACCCACTGAATCATTTTATAGCTACTCGTAAACTGAAGCTTGTTATAGCCATGGCCTTAATGTGTGGGAGAAATTAGTGGGGCTGTAAGAACTTGTACGAACTACGTACGTGATTGTCATTATCTATACTTAAGAACTGATGTACTATTTTACTCCTTGACAACGACGTGTAACGAAGTTAAATTCCCAATTTGATCCTTCATTTGCTGTTTAAATCTGCATTTTACATTTTTTATTGAAGATTTTGAAGTTTTGTTAAGTACTGATAAACAACAGAAACGACTTGATGCTCTTATTGTTGTCATTTCCTGCTGCCATTCACTAGATGGCCATAAAAATTGTACTTTGGCCATAAAAATTGTACTTTGGCCATAAAAATTGTACTTTGGCCATAAAGTTGTACTTTTGTCACTCGTGGGCTTTACATTTTAAAATAAACAAATAACAACTGAGGATTTTTTAGAAAGCAAATTTATATACCTGTTGATGACCTATTTGGTTTCCATAACACAGAAGAACATAGTGACTCATTTCTGCGGTTTCATTTTTTAAAAATGTAAAACATAAATAAAGGTGTTAATGCTTAAAATATCTTTTAATTGATATACAAAAATATGAAATAAAATAAACATATATTCCGAATTCTTTAATTCTTACGCTGAGGCTTTCCCTAAGTATTGTTGTGAAATGTAAGTATTCTCACAAGTTGAATGTTTTGCAACGTTCGAAATTAACGTCGGTCCTTATGGTCGACTGAACACCACTCGGACCCACACCTTTTGTTTTCTGCAGGTCCTTATGGCCGACAGCTTTTTCAACCCCAATAACTAACAGTATTATTTCCATATTAAAATATAGGGCCTACACATTCTGATCAGGACCCACAACTTTTTATGGTTCTGGGTCCTTATGGCCTGCAGCTTTTCAGGGTTAAGGGCAAACACTGATGTATGGCATAGGTAAACTCGCATGACAAAACAATTGTATGGTGGGTGTAAAAGGAAGAACAAGTAATATCCATGTTAAATTCATCAAGTAATAAAATTGTATTTTGTAGGCAGTTTAAAATATGGCATCGCGAAATATACGGTTAGAAACCGTTTTATATATACTATTCCAAAAAGGAACGCATAGGCCAGAAATCTGTTGCGAAAATGTTGTATTTTCAAGCATGTATAACTCGTCCACAAATAGGCTTTAGTGCATGAATTTTTACACCAGTTTAGAAGAAGGTAATGTCTATACAACCAAGTGGATACTTTTAGATAACGGAGACGGAGACGACGTTGAGCGCGATGGTGACGACGTAGCACGGTCCCGACGTCGGGTCTCCTGGCTCTCAGACCAATCTTTTTCAACCTGTTCCGTACAGTTTGACCGGATATCCTCCGAAGTCCAGGCACCCTGGCAGCAGTGCTCTAACCCGTGGCAGTACGATCACGCAAATGTTGTACCCGGATGTACCGATCTTGGTCTGCTGTGGTGACTCGAGGTCTGCCTGTACGGGGACGGTCATTTGTTATACCTGTTTGGTTGTAACGAGCTGCAAGCCGTGATATCGTGCTCAGACTAACATTCAGACGCCTGGCAACAGAAGATTGGTGATCTCCAGCGTGTATTCTTTCAATGGCGATGTTCCGTGTCGCAGAGTCAAGACGTTGCGTGGTGATATGACCTTGAAACTCCTTCAAAACGAATGCCAATTTCCGAAAGTAATCTGGAATTTTATTGCCAGACAGTGCATGCTCTTTGCTGCACAATTTCAACTGGAAGGTGATTTCTGTTGCGTTGTGGCGATGCCTTTTTAATCCTTGTAAGAAATCTCATCAAAATCAACATTTTCAAGTAAAATCAAATTTTTACTTGTGCAATTGTGTAAAATCATGTTATCAACACTTTCGTTACATATTTTGACGATTGTTTGAACACAATAGGTAATTAATAGATGTTTAAAAATACAGATCGCCTATGCGTTTCTTTTTTGGGATAGTATACATTAGATGGATTACACACTTCCCTTCTATACCTTTACTCAAACATCAACTTAGTGATAACTATGCATCGTATTGGCAGGGACAGTTGGACAATTCAGCTAGTTTGTATCCATACAGGGAATATAAGCAAATATTGGAACTGGAAACCTTTTAAAAGAAAAATAAATCATAGTTATAGAACGGCTTTGGCAAAACGGAATGTTATCTCATAATGATTTTATGGAAAAGGTTCACAGTGGGAGTAGGCGTGAAGATGGAGATGAGTTCCACCTTGTTTTTATGCACACTTAGACAGAAACAATAGGCCGTTTACTGATGGAGATGAAACGGGTTTTCACCTGGACAGCGTAATTGATCGTGGGAACATAGTTTATCCACTGTCCCACGTGATTTCAGTCCTCTACGCTTTGCCTTTTCAACACATGTAGTCGCCGTTGTTCAACTGTAACCTGTGGATCTCTGCTGGTCATCGTGCTGATCAACATCCAGACCTTTCGTTCGAATACAGACTCCTTGGCTATAATATTACGGCGAGGGACATCAGAAATACTCTTCATGTATAGTACCTATGATCAAAAGAAGGAAATATGCATGGACAAATTAAAAACAAAAATAGATAGCCAACCTGATACTTCACTTTGATCTTGTGTTGGTAAATTGGTACCTTTTGAGGAACTTATCCTTGTTTGGGATCCATTTCCTTCCAAGATTAACTGGGTTTTGGGATGGCAAGGGAGCACCATCAATGTAATTCACCTGTTTGTGCAAATTGTGTGAATAGCAGAGGCTAACAGTACGACAGGATATTCTTACCCTTTTCGCTTGGTGTCATCACTGATTTTCAGGGGGTGGTGGGGTAGCCTAATGGTGAAAGCGTTCGTTCGTTACGCAGAAGACCCAGGTTTGATTCCCATATGGGTACAATGTGTGAAGCCCATTCCTGGAGTCACCCGCCGTGATATTGTTGGAATATTGCTAAAAGCGGCGTAAAACTAAACTCACTCACTCACACTCACTGATTTTCAGTGGTGTATTCAAACCATTTTCACAGCTATTTTGTCCTATACATCAAATGAAATCTGCCTGAAGAGTGTTATACTTTTGTATCGACGTTTTAGATTCACAATGACATACACTTTGTTTACTAGAAACTAGGGAAACGAGGAATACCGTAGTGCGCGGTCGATATAGCAGATGTTTTTTAACGCCAGCGCCACTGCTCTCAATATCTAGTCTCTCAATATTTATAACTTTGACAGAAACACCTAATTCCACTGAAATAGAAAATGAGCCCCAGTGAGATGTGGATCCCGTGCCTAGGGATATCATTAAGGGCTTTAGCATTGTAGACAGGGTTGGACGGAAGGGAAACCAATGTGGTTGACAGACAGTGAGACAGACTAAGCCTGTCAACCAAGCGGCTATAACCGCGCTCCAGGAGAGTACCTAAAAGTATCGCACTTAGAGAAAGGGCGATGTCTTGGCATTAACAACATGAGTCCGTCTGAGGGTCCAAAACTGTTTATTCAGTCTACACTGGCTATCTGGCTCAGATCTAACCTAACCTAACCTTGGGAGTATTGCCTGCACAGGCGTATATGCCGAACTGAGCTTTGTTTACACTCGGACCGCGTTCTGCGGCATTAGAGGTAGTGGTTGTCTGAATAATTGAAATAATCGAAGATTGGTCGCAGTGACTAAACGACCAAGCAATTGATCACGTTTTCTCATAATCGAACACAAACAAGTTTGGAACGCTTGTTTGCATTGATAATATTTTTCACAAGGTTGATTTTGTCTGTGTTATTAAATATATATTTCATAAGCACCACGAGCTCGTTCAAAGTCATGATTGAATTTATCTTAAAGACTCCAGGAAGTTTGTGTTCTTAACTTTCTAGTCATCGTTTAAACATGTGCAATTTGCGAAAAAAAACTCTAAAGAACTACATGGTTTTTTTTCCATATTTGTCTGTGCATATTAACAACCATAACAGGAAAAATTGATAAATGACGCTAACCAATCACTATCGATGATTGAACAGTTGTAATGAACCAAGCATCAATTATGAGATGTCATTTCACAACACAACTTAGAGGGCGTTGCTTAAAATGAGACATTATTAGTTTGCAAAATATTGCTAATTTCCTAATTGTTCCTAGTTTGTGAGAGTGAAAAAAGCTGGTTCATTTTGTGCATATTAGGGTTTCTACAGAATAGCTACTGATATAGTTTATCCTTTCTCGGGCCAAGGTAGGGCAAATAAACAAACAATGAAATTCATCTCCAATATCGTTTGCATTACAAAGAGTACATAATCTTTCGTTTATGGGGGTGTTTTAATCCATCGACCTGTTTCAACTGATAGGTAATGGTTCAGCTGATAAGTAAAGCTCTCCGATCATCATAATGTAATAAGTTCAGATATTTCATATATCAGTTCAGAATTTAAAAAAATATATTATAAATAGCCCCCCTTCAAGATTTTTCCGTGTTTGATATCCAAGTCTGGAGATTAATTTCTTTCAGTTTGTTTACAACAAGTGCTTTCAGACTATGTTTATTAGGATATGCCTGTGTAGCCCAAGTATAACCCATGGTTGATCATAGTTGGTCCTTTGTCTTTAGGGCTAGTCATCGTTGGTCCTTTGTCTTTAGGGCTGGTTATTGCTAGTCCTTTGTCTTTAGGGCTAGATAGTCCTTTGTCTTTAGGGCTAGTCATCGTTGGTCCTTTGTCTTTAGGGCTAGTCATTGTTGGTCCTTTGTCCTTAAGGCTGGGTAATGCTGGTCCTTTGTCTTTAGGGCTGGATATTGCTAGACCTTTGTCTTTAGGGCTAGTCATTGTTATGTCCTTTGTCTTTAGGGCTAGTCATTGTTGGTCATTTGTCTTTAGGGCTGGATATTGCTAGTCCTTTGTCTTTAGGGCTAGTCAGTGTTGGTCCTTTGTCTTTAAGGCTGGGTATGGCTAGTCCTTTGTCTTTAGGGCTAGTCACCGTTGGTCCTTTGTCTTTAGGGCTGGATATTGCTAATCCTTTGTTTTTAGGGCTAGTCATCGTTGGTCCTTTGTCTTTAGGGCTAGTCATTGTTGGTCCTTTGTCCTTAAGGCTGGGTAATGCTGGTCCTTTGTCTTTAGGGCTGGATATTGCTAGACCTTTGTCTTTAGGGCTAGTCATTGTTATGTCCTTTGTCTTTAGGGCTAGTCATTGTTGGTCCTTTGTCTTTAGGGCTGGATATTGCTAGTCCTTTGTCTTTAGGGCTAGTCATTGTTGGTCCTTTGTCTTTAAGGCTGGGTATGGCTAGTCCTTTGTCTTTAGGGCTAGTCACCGTTGGTCCTTTGTCTTTAGGGCTAGTCATTGTTGGTCCTTTGTCTTTAAGGCTGGGTAATGCTGGTCCTTTGTCTTTAGGGCTGGACTTTGTCTTTAGGGCTGGATATTGCTAGACCTTTGTCTTTAGGGCTAGTCATTGTTGGTCCTTTGTCTTTAAGGCTGGGTATTGCTAGTCCTTTGTCTTTAGGGCTAGTCATTGTTGGTCCTTTGTCTTTAGGGCTAGTCATTGTTGGTCCTTTGTCTTTAAGGCTGGGTATTGCTGGTCCTTTGTCTAGCCCCCTGGCCTCTGGTCAGTGATTTGTCTTCCTCATTTGCTTCCTACGTGACCCATCGATCATCTGTCATCGATTAGCGACCTTCCTACCCTCACCGACCAGTGCATGTTCTTAATTAGTGAGGTCAGCTTGCCTACTTTCAACTCTATTCACACCCTTGATACCAGGATTTCCATTGTCGAAAGCATCAATATTTAACTAGACAATGGTTGACGCTGATGGTGAGACGACCATGCACAAATATCAATAGGATAGATGAGAGAAACTGGAAAATAGTTTGCATATGTGAGTCAACACACGCGTTGCCATGGTTGTACTCACCACGCTCTCATCATATACCTAACCCAATGTAGGTTTACGGGCACATCAGTCGTCTTGGACGGGGTTCTTTCAGGATTCTTGACGTTTGGAAACGAAGGGACCGAGCCTTGGAATACGTTCTTTGCAGGGAGATTCGACGTTTTCACAGTAAGTTTAGGTATGGTTTAGGTACTCGTTTCATTAAGTCGGTCAATTAACCTCGACGTAGATTTACGAAGCTCTCCAAGTGTTAAGATGGTCGTAAGTGCCATACCTTAACATTAACTTACGATTATCTTAACTCTAAAAGAGCTTCGAAAATCTTGGCCCTGGCGATTATTATTGCCAGGCACCTAATTTACTTTGTTTTGACAAACACAATACAAACATGGAAATTGATTCAGATTTCACTATGAAATTTCATCTGTTTTATAGTTTATTACATGGAAAAATATAGAGGGTTTTAAGATAGCACACACCACAGAATTGGCTTACCGAATGAAAAAAAACTCCATGAGCCATAACCTGTGGATCTACGGCGGTCACTGTGCTGATCTGTATATTGACCTCTCGTTCGAATAAAAAAACAACAACCTTTGGCTATAATATTACGGGTTCTGTTTTTTTCGGACCTATTCTATGTGCGCTGCTAGGATAAATGTCAGTCACATATAAAGAGTTATCGCTTAACAAAACCTTTAACGACCCTTCGGCTTAGTCTGTGTCCCCGACCCGTGCGGTTTTTAAAAAAAAATAAATGAATCAAACTAAAGTCTAGGATAATTGCGCAAGTCAAGATACTCTGAACCCTGAAATATTACAATATTACATCGTTCTGAGATCCAGTTGGATTTGAGTATGTTTTTACCCATGAATTAAGAATTGTCCCGTCCTTCTTTTGAATGTGATTTTATATCTAAGATATATGTGCCGTACATACTACGGGTAACCACGTCTGAGCACAGGCCGTCGTGCCTTTGCGAGGATTAGAGATTTTATCAAATATGTACACAAATTTGAGATGACCCCCGACTCGAAATGCTTCACAGTATAATACATTATGACAAGGCCGGACACTTCGATGCACCCTACCCGACTGCTTTGCCGATAGCTACGCTACCATCGCATACAATCGATTAAAACTTAATGTAAACATAATCATGGATGATTGGCCTATCGAGCACCACTCATGACACCTACCAATTCCTTATTGTCATTTCTGCAAGTCAATTGAAACCCGATTTTGACTCTCAACTAAACGATCTTGACACAAATGGATGACGATATATCCGCACAAAACGGGGTTGCGGTCGAAGCAAGCCCTCTTTTGAACTAAGTACACAGCAAATGCTTATATATATATATTTCTTATGTAACAATGAAGTTCCGTTCGTATCCTCAAAACAGTGTCTGCCCATAAGTTGTTGTTTTTCAGGCAATCAAACTTGCATGCAATACAGCGATTACTACTCTCTTGTTGTAACCCTTGTTTGGTGGTAAACCTACACATGTTATTTGTCATCATTCACTTGATGGTCTGTAAATGAATTTATAACAGGTATAATTAGTGATAACACCACTCAGATTACCCGACAAAGGTTCCCTTTTGGTATTTCTTGTGTCTGGAGTAAATACTCATCATTATAAATTGAGGTCTGATGTGGCAAATGTATGCGCATGGAAGTGCAGTAAGAGGAATTATCAGCTGAGTTACAAAACAAACATCAATCAAAGGATTAACCGATAACACGCTGATTGATCAGTTGCTTTTATCCTGCACAGCGGATTTGTCAAAAGGTAGTGTTTATGTATGTAGATTAATAATCTATACTGAATAGGTGTCGGCCCGGGAAAGCGAAATTTCAATATTCCCTATTCCCAGTAAAGCGTAAACCAAAGTTGTGCTAGAAGTGCCGCGAAAGCGAATTGCTATGAAAACACCGGATTACCGTACTTCAGATTAGCGCGCGACCCCAATACTTGATCTGTTAGCCTCTAACTTAGATGAAGTTTCAGTTGTTTCAAGTTTCAGCACTTGATCTATGACAAGGTTAAGCATCGGTGTAGGAAAACTCTCCGAGAAAAGAAGCATTGGAGCTGTGTAGTAAATTTTGTTTGTTGTTTGACTTATTTGACTATTTTATTTAATCCACCGTGCAAAGACGGTTGTTCGAGCAGATCTCACTAATTCTCAGTTAACTGGGACAATGGCTGACGCCGACATTAGATTATGTCGGTAGAGTCAGAGTAATTTACGTTACGTTGTGTTTGTTTACAGCTTTTCTTGTGGTAAATCATCGCACAGACCCACAAGATAATCTTTCTTTATTGGCCTGTTCATGTATTCTCGATATCTAAAAACATATAGTTTCGTTAACATTGATTTTTCTTACAATATGGAAAAATATGCTCGACACCAGTAGAGATATTTTAAGCAAGTAATCATACGTTACCGTTATAACTCAAAATCTAGCATCCCAGTAATAGTCTTCATCACTGTTAACTGTAGCTTGACCGTTCCCGCGAAAGCGAAACCTAAATTTAGGAGGTTTAGTCCAGATTTCGCTTTCCCGGGCCATAACCACCAAATACACCCTGTCGTAAAGTCTCTTTGTAAAAACAACGTCCTTCCTTCAAAGGATTAACCGCCAATACATTGATTGCTTGCTCATTATTGGCTAACTAAATTACTTTTTAAAGAATGGCGGACATCATGCAATTAGTTGCCAGAAGTGCTATCTTGGGTGACCAATGGGACTATACACCAATGTGAAAAACCTAAACGATAGATCAACTTTCGCATATTAGACTGTTAAAAGACACATGACATGGAACAGGATTCTTTGTCAGCTGCAGATGAATGACATCTCATTCCTTTATGTGGATATTGATGGATACATTCCCAGAACAAGGTAATAGCCTGATAATGTTACTATAACTTTAGTCCGTTTTAATTTTAATATTTGCATTTTGTTTTTATTTATTTGTTATGGCATTCAACAGAATAAAAACTTTTGCCGTGAAGTGTAACGAAACAGACAACATGCACTAGGTCGCACTCAGGGCATGTGTGTGAAATATTATACACGTTGGCAATCTATAAAATGTCTAGCTGTTACAATCATGTTATAAATTCACTAAGTATAAGCAGATCGTGTGCATTTTATTAAGTTTCAAAATGCATACAAATATGATAACAAACTAATTAGGATTATAAGACAAAATATAAAGTCGTACATTGATTTCGTTATTTCAGTCCTAACATTTGTTACCACTGGCAGATGGTTAAACTTAAAATGTTTTCATTAGTTATCAAAATAATGCCATTTAATACAACATTCTGATTGACTAAATAAAGTACTGTCGGAAATTCTAGAAAAATGCTTTTTAGCCTTAATATCTTTATAAAGGTGATAAATATACTATGTTGTCAATATATCAAATCGCCTATAGTGTACCTAATTTTTATTTCAATCGATTTAACATTCCCATGCATTTAAAGGGCAGTTTACAGGAGAGAATTTGGTACCAAAACAGCAACTTAAGATCTTTTCAGAGTTCAACAACAGAAATCTGAAATAGTCTTTACATTTATGCTAATAATACAGGTGGTGTAAAAATATGAATTAACGTTTTTCCTAAACAAATAAATGTTGAATGTTTGTGTTACTTTACTTAATTGTCGTTTCTTTATAGAAGAAATATTAATATAAATGTTAAGTCTTGATAAATAAGTTTCCCGTCATGCATGCACATCTTTATCACAGCGTCCACTATGGCCAACGATTTGCAGTCGATTATTGCAAAGGTTTATAAGTTTTTTCTGCTTGAAAAGACAGAGGTAAACCTTTCATTAGTTTAGAAAGGGTTTATTACAGAACTTGTAGAGATGTTGGTATGTCTTACCAACAAGTTTACAATACTGTAAACAAATCAGACAAGACAGGGACCGTCTCAAAAGCAGAACCGGGACGTAATACCATCCTTGACAACTTTGACAAGGGAGTGCTTAGACGGGCGGTGTACAAAGAATCTACACCAGTGACTTCGTTAAATCTTTGGCCAATGTTCACAACTAGATTAAACTGACCGAATTACATCCATATTTTTTCAATGAAATATACTGTTGACATGAAAAGCATTTATTAAAACGTTGCACATTTCTACAATCAATCGATAAGATAACACAAGTGATAGGATTCTTTCCAATGTACAGTAATTCGTATGTTTATTTCAAAACAAACACACATACACAAATTATCCCTTACATAATCAATGCGTATACTATACGTACACATATTCAACATTTTGCAGAAATCATCTATTGAGATGACCCCTCGCCCGAGCGTGTGCTCAAGTGTCAGTTTCACCTGTCGATACCGTGTATGCTGCTGACGTAACGCAGGCAGTTAATGTTTGTATCAAATAACGTCCCACTACCCCTTATTTTTCTAACTTTTTGGTATTTTCATCAGTAAAAACACATTTTAGAGCATGTCTCAAAAATTATTCCCTCGGTCTACATTAGGTAGATGTTTCTTGAAGTGATATTTGTTATTTAAGTAACTGTAATACCTCTGGATTTTAAATATAAGCCAAAAAGCAATTTTCTAGCATTTCCGACAGTACTTTAGTAGTGAACCCAAGCTTACTACTCTCCCCAAGACTCCCCATGTACTTAGTCAGCCTTACTTTCAAAACAATGCTATTGTATCACACTTCTCACCAAATTCAAGGTCAAACTATTTCTTAAATCAAATTCTACATCCATTTATGTTAACATTTTTATAAAGTAAACATTACTATGAAATCAAAATTTTACATCAAAATCAGCTTTTTTTTATCAAAGTGAATATTTTTTATTAGAAACCAAATGATTCATCAAAGTGTACATGATTTTACAACAAAATATTATCGAGTATAAAAGATTTCATCTTTGTTGATCAGTCTGTACTTATACTATCAATTGCGCATGAGGGTTGCGCAGCAGAGGTAACGAACCAGTCATGAATTCTGGGATATCATCCGGGTACTCACTGGAGAAAAACAATAACAAAAGCAACAACCAGTCCACGGAAATTGCTCTGGATCAGTGGCCCTTTAATACTAGCTAGTTTCCACAATTTGCATGAACAGACATTCTTTCTTAATAACCAATTTCTATTTTACTTATATTAAATGATTTGGGAAACACTTCTTAGACTATGATAGTGTATTAGAAGAATGGGTCTTACAAATTGTCCACATATAGGATAACTACCCAGCTTTCTTCACGATTCACGCACAGGTCTTACAGAGAAAGTCAGGGTTCACAAAACTGCATGTAACCTTGCTTATTATGGAGTTAGTAGTTAAGACAACAACGTCTTTGTAGCTTCCTAACCTTCAAGCAAGTCCGCCAGTAATAAGCACTCTCCCCGACACGGTCCCAACCCACAGCTTATTATCAGCTCCCAAGGCCACAGCACATGGGCTAAAATTCCTGTCTTGCGACATTCTGTAAGATTTAAGTTTGGATTCTTTGTCTCGAAACATCAAAACAGAGTTGCTTCCCTTGTCGGCAATAGCAATGGCGCCTTCAGGACCCCAACACACATCCACGGGAGAAAATACGGATCTTGCGCTTGCCAGAGGAACTGGGGACAACTCGAATTCAGTCCCTGTTGAGGTTGACACTTTGACAGTTCCTGGGATTGCGAAGACTTCACATGTTTTACCATTCTTCACGTCCTTCCGCGAGCTCTGTTTCAGTTTGATATCTTCCATGAGTGCTGTGATTTCCTCGGATTTAACATTTTCGTCAGATATAGGAACGTGCATCATACTTTGGATCCCCTTTCCGCGAACAGCTTCATAACGGTCTAGGTGTAGTTCAAACTTCTTTACTGCCCCACCCCTTTCATCAAACAGGATCAGTGAACATCCACCTGTGGTGCCGCGAATGGCGACCCATGCCTGATTCTGACCAGTCGGACTTATGAAGTCGATGGTTCCCTTTGCAGTAGGACATTGAAATTCGAAATTAGGTGATACTATTTCGGCTTCAGGAACTGCCATTAAAATCTGGAGGATTTCTGAGCTTTTCATGATTCTCTTACTTCTGGACACAGTTAATAGCATAGGATTCTTAAGTTTTTCAACATCAGTTCCGTCAATGCTGTATTTCATGTCTTTTAACCTTCGTCGCATTTCCGGAAGTGTATTCAAGATATCTGCACCACAGCCTTCCTCCAACAGTCTGGATACATGTTCAATATGGCTTGCAAGAAACAGCTTGTCTTGTGTAGTAGTCGTTTCAATTCTATCTAAATATGAAAGCTCTGTTGTTTTTATTCCTTTAATTTCTTTCAACTTTTCTTTGCGGAGAGAGTTTATCTTTTCAATCATCTGGTCAGCTGCGGAATTGATTTTTTGTGCTATCGCGCCTGCTGTTATAGAACATTTCAATTTACTATCTGCGGTTTTCTGAAGCTTTCGCTCAAACGCAGTCATACGCGCATCGAGTTCTACTTTCACTTTCGCCAGGTCATTGCGACCCTGTTTAATCACATCTTCCAAATCCACAGTTCTGTGACCCTCGTGTGCTGTTAGTTTACAGTCACGACAAACAGCCCGCTCGCATGTCGTACAGTGAAATCGGAAACGTTCCCCTTTGTGCTTAGTACAGAATTCAGGCTTAGAAATCGCCGGGTAGTCTTTGGAGGTCTTATTTAGACGAATGAGAGAGTGCTTTCGAGTCATACTCAATGAGTTGTGAACGCTTGTACAAGTATCACATAATATCTGCTCACACTGGTTACACCTGTTGACTGCAGTCTTGGAACAGACCTCACAGAATGCATCTTCGCTTGCCTTTTTTAGCTCATCAGCTTCGATGTAAAAATTAGTTTGAAACCCTCTTACTCCTGATTCCGGAAGTGTGACTTTGAAGCGACACACGGGGCAACAAAACTCACCATTTCTGGCTGTTCTCGATGTAAATTCTTCTAAACAACGCTGACAAAATGTATGGAAACACGGTAGCAGTTTTGGGTCCTTGAACGGTTCGATACAGACGCTACACGTTCGACTACTATTACAACGTTCCTTGTGTGGATTGGCAGACGCCATTGCGCCTCTCGCATGGTTGTGTTCGGGCGATACATTCAGAAATGAAGCACAGTATGAGAACAACGTTCGCCGCTACATTGTGTGAACCCGTAATCTGCAGTATAATCCTAATAGCCTAATAATGACTAGACTAACATAAAGTCCCCGAAATAAAGGTATGTTAATGAATAGGGCTGCGCAATATAACCGGTTTACCGGTATTTACCGGTTCAGTCATGAAAACGATACGTATTGCGATACGCTGATCGAAAACCGGTATTTTGACATGCATTCGGAAAACTTCGTAACGCTCGGAAATCTTCGGATATTTCCGTTTTTTGACTTGTTCTTTTCCCTCTTTCATTAGTGCCAAATGTTACTTAAATTTATATTTTGTCATGATTAAAAGTTTTTATAAAAGGTTAATCAATCATAGTGATTTTGTTGTGTTTTTGCTTTATAATCAAGCATTAACTCGATTATAAGTAGTTTTTGTTAAAAAAATAATCCTTGCAATATATTGCAATACATATCGCGATAAATGCTTCCGCATCGCAATATATCGCAATATGAAAATTCTCTTCAATACCCACCCCTATTAATGAAGTTACAAAATAATAGTCTTATAAAGGAACTATTCATCGTAAAGGCTTCAAGGCCCGGAATGATGTTAAAGGTACAATGTCATACATTTTCGACAATATTTTGGCCTATATTATATATATTGGGGCATATGCACTCACTTTAGCTTCCTATTCCTGCAATAAAAGAATTATTATCCCTTACGACTTACCTGGAATCCATAATTGAAACTTCGAGGCGAACAGCTTCCAAACAGAGAACACTTGCCATATACGGAATGTTAACATTTGCTTCGCATATCGAAAACAGTCACACGCGGTGTTGTCGATGTTTGTCCAACTGGTTTCAATCACAAGTTGCGCGTATGTTTTTTGCGCTAGACATTAGCGTCATTTTGTCTAGGACTGGGTTCTGTCTCCAAAGGAGAATGGAGAATGTTCGTAAAGAGCGCTCCAAGGGACATAACTCTATGGGGTTCGCTTTTGAAATAATATTCTGCCGGGAAAGGTAGCAAGAGTCGATTTAATGCAACATTCGAACCTGTAAATGTAATGTTGTAATCTAAATATTTGTTTAAAAAAATATAAATTATATGGTAGCTTCCCTAAGGGCGGATAGTTAGTATTATTGAGAGAAATGCATTATTTATTTTTAGAGATGTGTGGTGTGAAATAGTGCCATTAATGTTCTAAATATCAGGGTCTGCAACAGCTACCTATTCTTGATATGTTTGACATGACAGGCACCACAAACGCATGTTATTGGCTTATTAATCAAGTTTGTTTCGAAAGAAGCGGGTTTATCGTGTTGGCAAATTACCCTGAAAGGCGCATCATCACACACAAACAATACTGGCAATAAGACAAACTATGTAGAACAAATGAAAGTAGAATCTTATGTTCGCTTTTTGTACACAGTGTATACACCACAGGAACCGTCCTTTTAAACGTGATTTAAACATAAGGTGTATATTATAAACTTTACTTCAGGAATTTAGAAGTTAGAAGACGTCCCGCCGATAATTGAAGACACATTTATGGACTTCGGGGTGAGTGAGTGAGTTTACTTTTACGCCGCTTTTAGCAATATTCCAGCAATATCACGACGGAGGACACCAGAAATGGGCTTCACACATTGTACCCATGTGGGGAATCGAACCCGGGTCTTCGTCGTGACGAGCGAACGCTTTAACCACTAGGCTACCCCATCGCCCCGACTTCGGGGTGGTCCTAAAAAGTTGCACATTTATTTTCGCTTTTGTTCATGTTCTGCCATTAAAGTGTGTAATTTAAAAATACACGTAAGTCACTACAGTGTATCCAAACAGATATTTCCTGTGATTCATGCATATGGTTTACATCGTTTTGCCTTTTACGAGGACGTAACCTTTATCAACGGACAACCGAGATGGGTTATTCCCTGGTGTTGATGTACAAAATGAACTGCGACGTCGAGAATGGACCTCATATATTGTCTTGAGGAGTAAGATCACTTTTGCGGAGTTGACATGGTAGAAGAACTAGACACTGTATCAACATTGCATGAAGTAGAGAGGGAGTTTTTGGACACCAGTCGACCTTGTCGTTATATACCTCTGATTTTCCAACATAGTGTGTTTATCTCCATTCTTCCATAACCGGGGGGCGGTTGGGTAGCCTAGTGGTTAAAGCGTTGGCTCGTCACGCCGAAGACCCGGGTTCGAATCCCCACATGGGTACAATGTGTGAAGCCCATTTCTGGTGTCCCCCGCCGTGATGTTGCTGGAATATTGCTAAAAGCGGCGTAAAACCATACTCAGTCAGTCTTCCATAACCGCGTTATTAGGATTTTAACAAAATACATACTGTGTTGGAAAATCAGAGGAATTATAACGTGATTATATACCTCTGAATGACTTTAATTAACCAATCACAATTCAGTATTTACTAAAGTCATGGTAGAAAGAACGTTGACAGCAATTAGTTTTGATAGGTGAACACTTAATCATCTTTGTTCTCAGTCTTGAGTATCAGTTCACATCCAATCATAAATCACTTTGTTTATTCAACAAAGGGAAAACATGTATATCTATATTCTTTTAAGATATCTAACGACATGACATGCATATATTAAAACTCGATGTATCAAAATATATATTTGGTCTTGTCTCCAGTTCATGGGTATCTAGTTTGACCCAACACTTGTTGTTTTATGGGATTATCACGCTTGACTGGTTCATTAACTGTTTACTTTTGTCTCAGATAATAATAATAATAACAATAAACTGCCTCTGAAGAATTCCAGCCAACAAACCTGATCTTGTCCTTTTCGATAAAGCCAATGAATTTATTTATATCATTGAATTTTCTGTCCCTTTTGACAGCAGTGTGATTGGCAAGATTCAAGAAAAGCATGATAAATATGCGGACCTCGCCTTTGAAATGTCTCTCCAGCATCCCAAGTACACTGTCGTCAGGCTCCTCATTGTTCTCGGTGCCCTTGGTTTGGTATCTCCTGATTTCTTGGCGCAGATCAGGAGAGTGCCCGGGATGTCCACCGGGAGCACCACCCTTCTGATACTCTGGGTCATGCAGAAGGCTGCAGTGTTGGGGAGCCTTCATATTCTCCGAAAAGTTCTTGGTGGGATCGGCAGTGTTTCCTGGGAGAAGTCCCATTCGCTGTCTGGGCTGCGTGTAGAGGGGGCAAGGGCCATGAGCTGATGATGAGCCTTACCAGCCTGACTGTGCAAGGATCACCCGAACCCTCTCTGCTGCATGTTCATCTTTAATCTGTAAAACATAATAATAATCTTTGTTTCAATAATTATTGGACAATTTTCTGTCTAATTTATTGATCTCTTTCAACCAGAATTTTGAAGTGAGATGTCAGTTGGATAAATTAATATGAATACATCACGAAACTTCACTTATTTTCGATACTCTCAATACGATAAGCGCAGAAGAAGGGTCTCCAGTCAGTCAATGTGAGATATGTTTTATTTTTTTTTCTAAAAAAAGAAAGTTATCTAATATATACCAGCAAAGACCAACAGTGCTGTTCGAAATTAGCAATACTGGTCAACAGCAATTGATTATAGGAGAATTAACGTCTCCATGGAACCGGTTAAAAATGTCATTGCGTGAAATTGTTTCTCCTGGAACCTGTTGCTTCTTTACACTAGATATAACAATAGAAAATATCGCCTTCCAGTTCACCTATCTTCTTAGAGGGGCGGTGGGGTAGCCTCGTGGTTAAAGCGTTGGCTCGTCACGCCGAAGACCCGGGTTCGATTCCCCACATGGGCACAATGTGTTAAGCCCATTTCTGGTGTTCCCCGCCGTGATATTGCTGGAATATTGCTAAAAGCGGCGTAAAACCACACTCACTCACTCAGTAAGCAGTTATTCCTGCTGTCTGTCGTTTAATCATGTGCCCTGTTGACTAATCACGTGCCCCGAAGCATGGGGCGCTCATGACGCCACTGTCATTAATGGATCCCGGAAAGGCAAGGTACGTTTGTAGCGGTCTTCATTAAACCACTAGGGAAAGTGATGCCCATTGTTCTTGGAAGTGTTTTATCAGCATAACTGAATAACTGCTCTAGGGCAATTTTTTTATGTTTAAAACCAATAAAATTGTACTTATTTTGATAATCTTCATCATGCCTAATACATTACACACATATTAAATAAGTATGCCCTCGTGGTGTAAGAGTTTGTTTAAATAACTACCTAGACTAAGGCTTAGTCTCTGAATATATATAATTTTGATAGTAACAAACAAGCCCATTTATATTGAAAAGGAGCCCTAGGGAGACCAGAGATTCAGAACCTGAGGAAATCTAGACTTGCTTTATTTAGGGCTTTAGCACTGCAGAGAGGGCTTGGCAGTAGGGAAATTAATGTGGTTCAGGGACTGTGAGACAGACTAATAACTACCTTGTAAGGGTGATTAACCTATACTTACCTTGGATCCATCTCCTGATGCCTGATATCTGTAACGTCCAGGTTAGTTACAACACGAGAGGAAGCAAAAAATCTAGCAATGTGGGCCTTCAGTAAATTATCTGTCAATGTTTGTGTTTTTCATCAGGAATCTTTCCCATATTGTTTTTCTTTAATAACGTTCGGGAATCATCCATGATCCATCATGTTAAGATACTTACAGTTTCACTTTCTGGTGTTTCAGCGCTTTTGAGTGTAGGAATGTCAACACCAGTCTTTAACAAATAAAAACTTCTCTCAGCGCCATAGGCTTCGCTAATTGAAACAGTGTAGTCTATTTTGTTTATATTGGTTTGATTTTGACCAAATGGGCCTGTAGATTTCATTCAGGGCCTGTAGAGTTTAAGGACTTCAGGCGGCAGCAGGCCCTGATGGCCAACTGGCAAAGTATTGCAAACACTGCTCCCGCCCCTATCATCCCAGGGGACCAGCTGGCGTTGTTCGGGTGCCAGTAGTGGCATTTCAGTGCTTCACATGTCACCCATATCATTCATATACCCAGATTACAGACAGACAGACAGACAGACAGAAATTTTATTAAACTCTCACCTCGTATTTACAATATAAAACAATAGACAAGTCAATAAAACAAAAGATTATTTACAAGCTACCCATTAAGGGTTACGAGAGACTATGTCTACTGTGTAAAATACAGATTAATTAATAAAAGGTACTAAAAAGCAATAATGGTTGAATATACACTACACATTATAAAAAAGACTACCCACCATGATATAAAATACCTTGCTGTTTTTCCAATAAACATATCAACCTCGGACATGATAAAACTTAACTTGTCACTAATACTCAAACATTTAAAATCATAACATATTTCTTCACACTTGACTAAAAGACTGTTTGTAACATCAAACTAAAGTGGACATTGGAATAAAACCTGACATTCATCCTCAACGCACTAATTACAATTAAGTATTGGTTCAGTGGCATGTTGGTGTATCGGCCCGTCTCAACACGTAGCGGAGGGACTCCACAGCGCAACAAGGCTACACTGGCTAGTGCTCGGCAATACGACCAAGGGAGGTCACTCTGTAGATACGGCTCAACTCCATAGCACTGTTGAAAGTTACGATACAGTCTCCACTTCTTCTTCCCACCTCCCCGCTTACTGTTCTCCTGATTGACTGCAACACTCCACTCCTGTAAATAGTTTTGCATCACTTTCTGTTCAACCTCTGATATCAAAAAGCGTATGTAGAAAGTTTTCCAACAGGGATAAAATGTTCAAGATCTACAGTTCTAAATTTCCTGTGTACACGTTGATGCCAATTCCGCTCACTTGACACAGCCTTAGAATGGGCCCACTTAGAAGATAATCTGTTCGGGTTCTGACCGCATGATCGCTTGTAAAATAGAGCAACACTCTTCCATTGCCGGACAACCGGTGGCACCCACCCCATCTCACCATATGCAGCATGGTTCGGAGTAAACTTCCTCACGCCCATAAAGTACCCCATAGCTCGGTTGTGAACAGCGTTTATAGATGGGATATGATACGTTCCCTATATTGCAGCACCGTAGTCGATAGTAGCCCATACCATGGAGTCGTAAAGCTTGGTAAAAGTCCTGTGCTGTATGCCTCCTAGGATTTTACACTTTGCTATGAGGAGTCCTAGTGCCGTGCTGGCTGCGCCTGCCACCGCATTTCCCATCCGGGTGTAGTTCATATGCTCTGTCAAGAGCAGGCCGAGGTAATGGTAGCTTTCTACTATCTCTAGGATCTTGTCACAACACTGAAATATCACATCTGTTCTTTCTACTGCTTGGCTTCTAACATGTATGACCTTTGTGTTCTCTGGGTTGACAGACATCTTGTGTACCTGGCACCACTGACTGAGTCCCACCAGGGTTGACAGACATCTTGTGTACCTGGCAGCACTGACTGAGTCCCTCCAGGGTTGACAGACATCTTGTGTACCTGGCACCACTGACTGAGTCCCTCCAGGGTTGACAGACATCTTGTGTACCTGGCACCACTGACTGAGTCCCTCCAGGGTTGACAGACATCTTGTGTACCGGGCGCCACTGACTGAGTCCCTCCAGGGTTGACAGACATCTTGTGTACCTGGCCACTGACTGAGTCCCTCCAGGGTTGACAGACATCTTGTGTACCTGGCACCACTGACTGAGTCCCTCCAGGGTTGACAGACATCTTGTGTACCTGGCACCACTGACTGAGTCCCTCCAGGGTTGACAGACATCTTGTGTACCTGGCACCACTGACTGAGTCCCTCCAGGGTTGACAGACATCTTGTGTACCTGGCACCACTGACTGAGTCCCTCCAGGGTTGGCAGACATCTTGTGTACCGGGCGCCACTGACTGAGTCCCTCCAGGGTTGACAGACATCTTGTGTACCTGGCACCACTGACTGAGTCCCTCCAGAAGTATATTCAAGTCAGCTTCCCTCTCGGCCAGCAGAATGATATCATCGGCGTAGGCTAGGATGTCAAAGGCGTTGAGGGTTGATATCAGGTCGTTGATGTACAGGTTGAATAGTAGAGGTGAAATCAGACTTCCTTGACGTAGACCACTTGACCCGAAACCATGGCGTACTTGACCCATTTATCCGCACACACGACTTTACATTATGCTGAAGCGCTACGATGGCATTAAACATTTGTCCTTTAATTGTTTTGAGCATTTTATATGCCTGGTGAGGTAGTCTGTTGTTTCCAAGGTGAATTAATCTTGTCCAGTATTTTATTGCTCTTGCCATGTAGATATGTTGAAGGGAGAGTCTCATGTAGATATATTGAAGGGGAGTCTGCCACACTCCCCTAGAGCCATGTTATTTGGAGTATTTTTAGTAAGTCTGAGAAATCTTTTACAGAATGATACTTGGATACTTTCAATCAGCTTGTTATATGAAGTTCCCCAGATCTCGGCTCCATAACATAATATTGGAACAATCATACTTTCAAACACTTTAAAATTATCTTCATAGCCCAGTTTTCCAAACTTTGAAAAGTAGTGATATTGAACATGGCTTTCTTGGCTTGTGCAGTAAGACAGCTGAATGTTTTACTCCATGAAAGTTTTGGGGTAAACACTATCACCAGATACCTGTAAAAATTAACAACTTCAAGTTCAGTTCCTTTGTAAGTCCATCTCTCATAATTTCTTAACCGCCCCCCTCTCCTGAATACCATAACTGTTGTTTTGTTTAGATTGACTTCCATGCCTGTAGAGTCACAAAATTGTTCTATCACATCTATTTTCTTCTGAAGTTGTGCAACACTGTCATCTAATGAAGACACATCATCTGCATATAATAATGCATAAATATTGGGAAAATCTGTTGTTATTAATATTCCTTCCCCGCCTTTCTGTTCAAGTTGATATATGAGTTCATTTAAGTAAATTATGAACAATTTTGGACTCAAGGCACATCCCTGACGGGTTCCGATGCTGCATTTAAAATATTCAGATAAGCCGGTTGACGATCTCACACATGGAGAGGAACTTCTGTGCTATTGCCTGTAGGGTGAAGATGTGGTCAATGGTTGAGTATCCAGGTCTAAAGCCAGCTTGACATTCATGGATAATATTGTTGTTGTCACACCAAGATTGTAGTCTTTTATCCAATAGATTTGTTGATGTCTGTGACGTCACTGTGACGATTGCTGTCCTCTCCATTGATGCTATTGTTACGAAGGGTAGAGTATGCTGTAGCCCACGTGTCTAAAACAACAGTCTTATCTCTCGACATCGATCCATCTTCAGTAACCATCTCCAGTATCCATCTGACTAAACAAGATGCTGCTAGATTAGAATTACTATTGAAAGATATACAGAGGACTCCATTTAACCGACATCGCTCGGGACAGGTGAAAATGTCGGTTTAGAGGGATGTCGGTTTAGAGGAGTTTTTGAGACACTCAATCCAAAATTTGTCATGTAACAATTTCAGCTTGACCTCTAGAGTTAACTCAGTCTTTGCTCTCTTAGGAGGGGGGTAGCCATTGTGGCTTGTTGTAGCAATATACACTCAAGCAAGAGCAAAACGCTTTCTTTACCAGTTTTGGTGTTCCCCGCCATGATATTGCTGGAATATTGCTTAAAGCGGCGTAAAACTAGACTCGCTCACTCAATCATTGTCCGTAGTGTATAACCTTGGTTTCAGGTTTTACTTCATTTACCAAATATGGTATCCTTTAATATGGTATATTTAATGAGCAACATAAGGGGAAATGACTGGAGTGTCCATGTGTACCAACCCCAGAAACATGGAAAGAGACAACAAACTAGAAGTGTTTGTTAAATGTTATAGATTAGGTTCAAGGTATGGTAGGGATATTTTTCTAACGAGATTTAAAGACTTTTAATGACCTAAGAAAAGAAATTAGGTTTGAATGAACAATTTCTTCCACTTAAACTTAAAAGTTATATATCTAAACAATGGATATAATTGTTAGAAGTTAATGTTTAACGAAATAACGACGGACACGCAATTCACTGCCATATTCAAATGATATTCTTCTATCTTCAAATTGTAAATGTATACATAAACGTACAGGACACGCTTGGTGAGCAAACAAACAAACAAATAAATAAATAATTTATAAATATAGATATTTATAAGATATAAATAAATAATAAATAAATAAACCTCGTGACTATTGTCGAGGCAAAATAAATAAATAAAAATAATGTAAAATATATAAATAAATAAATAAATAAACCTCGTGACTATTGTCGATCAAAATAAATAAATAAATAAATAAATAAATAAATAAATAAATAAATAAACAGTCTCACAAACAGTTTTCTACAACCTTCCTAAGATTCGACTGAAGAGGGGATAAGCCAATCAGGCTTGGTGACTTGACCGGTGGTGTGTCATCATTCCTTGATGGTTGCTCCTGCTATTGACCACTGGTTTCCATGCCCAGACACCAATGATTACAGGGGTCTGTAACACGAATAACGCTGACTACCTAGTAACATAACATTCACTTTAATCTCTGTTGAGTTTCTTCTGATAATTTGCAAATTAGAGTTACCTATTTATTTTTGTCTTAATGCACATTTTACAAAATATTTTTTTCTTTTCAGCCAAACATGTTGAAATATCAGCATCGTCCAAAGCTGATGCTGGTGCTGGTTATTCCAGTACTTGTACTTACACTATGGTTTATACGGTATCCTGTCAACATCCCATGCCGAAAGGTCATACCCCAACAAAAAGACTTTACACCGACTAACCTGCCGACTGAATGTCCAGACGTTCTCAGATATATGACCAGTGGTCACTGGAACACAAGAACATTGTCCAGCCAGGAGAAGAAAAGGATGTTCGATTTTCGTGAGAGCACTCACGCTAGGCATGCCTTTCCTCCAAACTTCCAACGCAAAGATGGCCGCTGTGGGAACCTGACGTATGAAAAGGTATTCTTTTTCCGAGCATTATGTAACCCACGAGGACAAACCCCTTGCTGCTTTCACAATTCCTGTCAAATGAGATCGGAAGAGGAGTGTGTTTGTAAAGATTGTTTTGATCTGCGGAAAGAGAGGTATGCTGAGTATTCCACGTGGGTTCCGTCAGATTTGAGATGTTCCTATCGTGAATTCTCGCGAGAAGATGCATGTGAACTTCTGAAAGGAAGTACGGTGCATTTTGTTGGAGACTCCTTGATTCGGCATATCTACACTGCAATGTTATTGGTTCTTACAGGGGATTATGACTATGGGGCACTTGTGTCAAGCGCATCTGATGGTAAGTGAGGAAAAGGAATAGGGTGTAGTCAATACAGAATCTAACACAACTACCGTATTTCTTCTAATAGACGACGATGCCCAATCGCAACCAGCACCATTGTATGCCTCTGTCCGAAAAACAGTTGCCAGGGCACTATTACACAGAGTAGTGCTAAGGTGATCTGACCCGTGAAGATCCGGGTTAGAATTGGTCTTCAGCGAACCATGCTAGTCGTACGGGCGACTAACGCGTTCGGGTGGTCAGCCTTGCTGACTTGGTGGACACATGTCATCGTATCCCATTGCGTAGCTCGATGGTCATGCTGTTGATCACTGGTTTATCTGTTCCAGACTCGATTATTTACAGACCGCTGTCATATAGCTGGAATAGAGCTGGGTGCGGTGTTAGACAACATTGAAACAAAACTTACAGGACATGTTCCTCAGGAAATAAGATAAAAGACTAACTAAAAACGATCCTGTAACAGAAATATATATCGATGTCAAACAAACACGTTTACCGTCCCACCATTGAAACCAAAGTGAGTGAGTATGGTTTTGCGCTGCTTTTAGCAATATTTCAGCAATATCTCGACGGTGGGCACTACAATAGGGCTTCACAATATGTACCCATGTGGGGAATCGAACCCTGAACTTTCATCGTGACGAGCGAACACTTTAGCAACTCCCTCAGGGTTGAGCAGAGCGGTCATCACAGCTGGGGTAGCTTAGTGGTTAAAGCGTTCGCTCGTCACGCCGACGACCCGGGTTCGAATCCCCACATGGGTACAATGTGCGGTGTAAAGCAATATTCACTCACTCATCACAGCTTACTTCGATTTCACAGTAACCAGGCGTTTGCTTCATTTGTCAGTTTTAAAAAACACACACAGCGACTATATACTTACGGATTAGGTAGACCCGTATAGGTTTTACGATGGATTACAACAATCAATTTACCAAATTTCATAATTTTATTATATTTTGATTCAATAATTTTCAGCAACACGAAAGGATTGCAAAGGAATCTACATGTTCACAGAAAAATTCTGCCGCCTCAGTCTTAGTTACGACACAAAAATCTGCGGAGGAAAAGCGAAAGTCGTAATGAAGTATCTCGACTATGCCCACAAGGGTGGTGAATTTGTAGCTCACGTTAAAACAATCCAGTCTAAATCGCTATTATTAGTCGGCATAGGCATTCATAACAATTTTGATGTTAACCTTATTGACAAACAATATTTTGGGCCTGTACTGCGTGAGCTCACTCAGCGAAATTCAACATGGCCAATGTTACTATGGGCGAATATACACGCCCCCGGGTTATTCAAATCTCCTATCATGAAGGGCCAGGGTCGTGACGACTTTGTACGCTTTAACACTAACATGGAGAAGTTTATGGGTGAGAGAAATATTACCGTATTTAACACGTTTAATCTTACTGATGGCATGTCCAGTTTTGATGGAACACATTACGGTATGGGTGTCAATGTCGTAAAGTCAAATATATTGTTACATTACATTGCGGAACTGAGACATAAAAACCTCTGGTAAATAATATATTATTGTATGTGATGTCCCCTGAGAGACAACGTGACCTTGTGTTTCTTGTATCTATCGTTAACGAAGTTGTATGATATGGAATAAAAAAGGCATGTAAAATACAGAAAGGATGAATAAATGTGCTATTTTCATGAAAATTGGGGTTGAATATAGCCCTATAATATTACTTGTATCCAAAGTTGAAGAAGAAAATTTAAATGGAAAATTTGGCGTGTATGGTAGCGTGACGTGTCTGGTGTATGGTAGTGTGACATCTCTACTGTATGGTAGTGTGACGTGTCTGGTGTATGGTAGTGTGACGTGTGTGGTATATGATAGTGTGACCTCGCTACTGTATGGTAGTGTGACGTGTCTGATGTATGGTAGTGTGACGTCTCTGATGTATGGTAGTGTAACGTGTCTACTGTATGGTAGTGTGACGTGCCTGATGTATGGCAGTGTGACGTGTCTACTGTATGGTAGTGTGACGTATCTGGTGTATGGTAGTGTGACGTGTCTGATGTATGGTAGTGTGACGTGTCTGGTGTATGGTAGTGTGACGTGTCTACTGTATGGTAGTGTGACGTGTCTGGTGTATGGTAGTGTGACGTGTGTGCTATATGGTAGTGTGACGTCTCTACTGTATGGTAGTGTGACGTGTCTGATGTATGGTAGTGTGACGTCTCTGATGTATGGCAGTGTGACGTCTCTACTGTATGGTAGTGTGACGTATCTGGTGTATGGTAGTGTGACGTTTCTGATGTATGGTAGTGTGACGTGTCTGATGTATGGTAGTGTCACGTCTCTACTGTATGGTAGTGTGACGTATCTGGTGTATGGTAGTGTGACGTGTCTGATGTATGGTAGTGTGACGTCTGATGTATGGTAGTGTATGTATGGTAGTGTGACGTATCTGGTGTATGGTAGTGTGACGTGTCTGATGTATGGTAGTGTGACGTATCTGGTGTATGGTAGTGTGACGTATCTGGTGTATGGTAGTGTGACGTGTCTGATGTATGGTAGTGTGTGATGTATGGTAGTCTGATGTATGGTGTATGGTAGTGTGACGTGTCTGATGTATGGTAGTGTGACGTCTCTACTGTATGGTAGTGTGACGTATCTGGTGTATGGTAGTGTGACGTGTCTGATGTATGGTAGTGTGACGTATCTGATGTATGGTAGTGTGACGTGTCTGATGTATGATAGTGTGACGTATCTTGTGTATGGTAGTGTGACGTGTCTGATGTATGGTAGTGTGACGTATCTGGTGTATGGTAGTGTGACGTATCTGGTGTATGGTAGTGTGACGTGTCTGGTGTATGGTAGTGTGACGTGTCTGATGTATGGTAGTGTGACGTGTCTGATGTATGGTAGTGTGACGTGCCTGATGTATGGTAGTGTGACGTCTCTACTGTATGGTAGTGTGACGTATCTGGTGTATGGTAGTGTGACGTCTCTGATGTATGGTAGTGTGACGTGTCTGATGAATGGTAGTGTAACGTGTCTACTGTATGGTAGTGTGACGTGTCTGATGTATGGCAGTGTGACGTCTCTACTGTATGGTAGTGTGACGTATCTGGTGTATGGTAGTGTAACGTCTTTGGTGTATGGTAGTGTGACGTCTCTACTGTATGTTAGTGTAACGTCTCTGGTGTATGTTAGTGTAACGTGTCTACTGTATGGTAGTGTGACGTGTCTGGTTTATGTTAGTGTGACGTATCTGGTGTATGGTAGTGTAACGTGTCTACTGTATGGTAGTATGACGTCTCTACTGTATGGTAGTGTGACGTGTCTGGTGTATGGTAGTGTGACGTGTCTGGTTTATGTTAGTGTGACGTATCTGGTGTATGGTAGTGTGACGTCTCTACTGTATGGTAGTGTGACGTGTCTGATGTATGGTAGTGTGACGTGTCTGATGTATGGTAGTGTAACGTGTCTACTGTACGTGTCTACTGTATGGTAGTGTGACGTGTCTGGTGTATGGTAGTGTGACGTGTCTACTGTATGGTAGTATGACGTCTCTACTGTATGGTAGTGTGACGTGTCTGGTGTATGGTAGTGTAACGTGTCTGGTTTATGTTAGTGTGACGTATCTGGTGTATGGTACGTGTGTGTACGTGTAACTGTCTACTGTATGGTAGTGTAACGTGTACTGGTATGCTAGTGTAACGTGTCTGGTGTATGGTAGTGTAACGTGTCTACTGTATGTTAGTGTAACGTGTCTTGTGTATGGTAGTGTGAAGTCTCTACTGTATGGTAGCGTGACGTGTCTGGTGTATGGTAGTGTGACGTCTCTACTGCATGGTAGCGTGACGTGTCTGGTGTATGGTAGTTTGACGTGTCTGGTGTATGGTAGTGTCACGTCTCTACTTTATGTAGTGTGACGTATCTGGTGTATGGTAGTGTGACGTGTCTGGTGTATGGTAGTGTGACGTGTCTACTGTATGGTAGTGTGAGGTGTCTGGTGTATGGTAGTGTGACGTGTCTGGTGTATGGTAGTGTGACGTGTCTGGTGTATGGTAGCGTGACATCTCTACTGTATGGTAGTGTGACGTCTCTACTGTATGTTAGTGTGACGTCTTTACTGTATGTTAGTGTGACGTCTCTACTGTATGGTAGTGTGACGTGTCTGGTGTATGGTAGTGTGGCGTGTCTGGTTTATGGTAGTGTGACGTGTCTGGTATATGATAGTGTGACGTTTCTACTGTATATTAGTCGTGTCTGGTGTATGGTAGTGTATTGCGTGTTTATGAGAATCTCATGCGTTTGTATATACTCCCAAAATACTGTCTATTTTCAAAATATTACTGTATTTTAGGCATGTGGCCTACACGACTTTACGAGTAAAGATTGGTATTTTTACCGCTGGTTTGCCTTGTATGTTCAATAGAATTTGTATGAAAGTTTTATACTCTATAGTTTTATTTAGCTCTATACTCTATTTTATAATTAATAATTCTTCAGTCATGCCACCATTATCCACTGCATGTGAGAAAAATGCTACCACAAGTGGAGAGATGAAATTGGGTTTAACGTCGTGCATGAGAATATTTCGCTCATATGACGACGTGCATGCGTGTGTATGTGTATGTGCGGCTGCTTGTACTAGCCCAGACTGAAGCTGGTTCTATAGTGCTAGCCCACTGAGATACCATGCAGCAGTGAAGCATGAATACCCCACTCAGACACAGTATACTGACTCCGAGCCGACCAGCCCTTGTTGTACCCATAAATGCCGAGCACCAGGCAGGAACCAACAAGTACCATGCTCCAACCACTACACCACGGAGGCGGCCTACCACAACGTAACGAGTGAATGATGTTGAACGCCGCATCCAGCAATATTCCTGAATACAAGCGAATCCGAACCAGGCCCATCAGTGACATCGTCGAATCACGCTGATACAACCGGCAACCAGGAGGCACAGGAACAGCAACACAGTTTTATCGTCGTAAATCACACAACTTAGGTCACGCACGCTCAGCCAGGTCACGCAGGCTCAGTCAGGTCACACACAATCAGTCACGTCACGCACGCTCAGTCAGGTCACGCACGATCAGTCAGGTCACACACAATCAGTCAGGTCACGCACGCTCAGTCAGGTCACACACAATCAGTCAGGTCACACACAATCAGTCAGGTCACACACAATCAGTCAGGTCACACACGCTCAGAGAGGTCACACACAATCAGTCAGGTCACGCACGCTCAGTCAGGTCGCTGACGATCAGTTTACACACGAATCAGTCAGGTCACACACGAGCAGTCAGGTCACTCACGCTCAGTCAGGTCGCACAGAATCAGTCAGGTCACACACGATCAGTCAGGTCGCTGACGATCAGTTTACACACAATCAGTCAGGTCACACACGCTCAGTCAGGTCGCTCACGCTCAGTCAGGACACACAAGATCAGTCAGGTCGCTGACGATCAGTTTACACACGATCAGTGAGGTCACACACGATCAGTCAGGTCACGCACGATCAGTCAGATCACGCACGATCAGTCAGGTCACCCACGATCAGTCAGGTCACGCACAATCAGTCAGGTCACACACAATCAGTCAGGTCACGCACGCTCAGTCAGGTCACACACAATCAGTCAGGTCACGCACGCTCAGTCAGGTCACACACAATCAGTCAGGTCACACACGATCAGTCAGGTCACGCACGATCAGTCAGGTCACACACGCTCAGTCAGGTCACGCACGATCAGTCAGGTCACTCACGCTCAGTCAGGACACACGCAATCAGTCAGGTCACACACGATCAGTCAGGTCACGCACGCTCAGTCAGGTCACACACAATGAGTCGGATCACACACGATCAGTCAGGTCACGCACGCTCAGTCAGGTCACACACAATCAGTCAGGTCACACACGATCAGTCAGGTCACACATGATCAGTCAGGTCACACACGATCAGTCAGGTCACGCACGCTCAGTCAGGTCACGCACGCTCAGTCAGGTCACGCACAATCAGTCAGATCACACACGATCAGTCAGATCACGCACGCTCAGTCAGGTCACGCGCACAATCAGTCAGATCACACACGCTCAGTCAGATCACGAGTCAGGTCACGCACGCTCAGTCACGCACGCTCAGTCAGGTCACGCAATCAGGTCACGCTCAGTCAGGTCAGTCGCACGATCACGTCACACGATCAGTCAGGTCACGCACAGTCGTTCAGTCAGGTCACGCACGCTCAGTCAGGTCACGCAGGTCACGTCACGCAGGTCAGTCAGTCAGGTCACGCACGCTCAGTCAGGTCACGCACGTTCAGTCAGTCAGGTCACGCACAATCAGTCAGATCAGTCACACGATCAGTCAGGTCACGCACGCTCAGTCAGGTCACGCACGCTCAGGTCAGGTCAGTCAGGTCACGCACAATCAGTCAGGATCACACACGATCAGTCAGGTCACACGCGATCAGTCAGGTCACGCACGCTCAGTCAGGTCACGCACGCTCAGTCAGGTCACGCACGCTCAGTCAGGTCACACACGATCAGTCAGATCACACACGATCAGTCAGGTCATACGTGATCAGTCAAGTCACATATGATCAGTCATGTTTGCCTATTTAAGTACACTGGATCCTTTTCATAAAAGTATCTCAGTCCTCATGCGCATTCATCTATAGGAAAGGGGTGTAGTAGTTTTAAGCCGCTTTTAGCAGTAATGGGCTTCACATATTGTACCCATGATTGGAATCGAACCCGGTGTCTTCGGCCTGACGAACGAACGCTTTTACCACTAGGCTACCCCATCGCCCCCGGTATACGTTTTACACACTGATAAAGGAAAGACGTACATATTCCATTAACGATTTGAGCACGCGCCTATTTATCAGTTTGTAAAACATATCAACTCTTAATGTAAATATAGACAAGTCGGTGCATAGGAACACTCAGTGAAGCATTACGTATTGTGTCAAGGTATGCTGTTTGTTCTTTAACAACAGACAGGGAGACAGGGTGACAGGGAGACAGGGAGACAGGGAGACCAG